TGGCAATGCTAATCAATTTTTTAATGCTGACGACTCGACGCCTAAAGCAGCTAGACGGCGATCTTCGGTAGTGGGCGGTGCTGAAAAAATTGCTCCAGACTTCACACCACAAAATAGTTACCATCTCCGCCTTATTGCGCCGCAGATTCAGCTTCAAAGTGAGAAGAACAAGAAAGCTGTCGCTCTAATCACGGCCAAAGGCATGCAGTTGAAAGTTATCTCAATTATGGATAAACATCGTGTATCTGATGATGTTTCCGGCTTGGTACAACGTCGATTCACTCTGGATATGGACAGCGCTCAATTCTTTGTTACTACCCAGAAGAGTCTGTTCAAACATCTTCATTTATATTCTGGTAATAGGTACGGAAATGCGCCAGGGTCTGCGTGGCCTCCATGGGTGTCACTGGAAGGTATGGTTGATTTCGACCTGGAGCCATCTGGCTTTTCAAGAATTATCCAGAAAACGTCCGCAAGCCTCAGATATGACAAGTACAATACTCTGCGATTGAAGTACAATGAAAAGATTGCAAGTGGTGATGATGACAGTAAGGTACACCTTCCAGCAAGCAACGAGAACCGGATGGATCAAATCTTGGTCGAGTTTTCCCATGTACGCGCAATCTGCGATTCGGATCAGTACTATTCCATGTACATCATAGTGCTCGACCTATTGCTCTGGAATGAGCCACTTGAAAAAGTGCGGAGCGAGAAGCTGGAGAAGATCATGCTTGCATCAGATTTCAGTGATCTAAGAGGTGCTCCTCAACTGGTGAGCCGGCTGCAGCAACGGATACGACAACTTGAGGAAATTAAAAATGTTTTCCAAATCCAAGCCAAGTATCTTGACGTTCACGGTTGGCAAGATCGTGTCGCCCTGGAAAGAGATTTGACACATTGCGAGGATGAATTGTTCTTTATCATGAAAGCTATCACGACATCACAGCGCAAGAATGAAGAACGAGCAACGTCGCAATCTAGTGGGGTATTGAGGTGGGCCTTGTCTGCTTCCGAGATAGTATGGCATCTCATGACGAGTCCCAAGGACCCTCTTGTGGAATTTCAACTGCGGAACGCAACGTATGCGCGAACCGACAACATCGACGGGTCGAACCGTAATACAATTGAGATTCAGCGAATAAACGGTCTCAATCTTCTCCCCAGTGCTCTCTATCCGCAAATGATTGTACCGTACGTCGATGAGCACCGAAGACCGCCGCAAAGTGAGGATGACAACATGCTTAGGGTTGATTGGTTCATGCTGGAAGCTGTTGCTGGAATACCCGTCCTGAACCATTTCGAAGTGACATTGTTTCCCCTAAAGGTCCAACTGGAGAGAGAGCTTGGAAAGAAACTGTTCGAATACATTTTTCCTGGGATGGGCTCAAACGCCTTTGAAAATGGGGCCTTTTCACCGTTTATGATAAAGCATATGCGGCCTCTGGGTGAAGAATCAGGGAGTGAAGATGATGAGAGTATCGCACCCGTCACTCCAGCCATTAGTATTGCAAGTTCCTCTAAAGATGATTCTCAAGCATCCACTTTAGGCCCAGGATCCATAGAGTTGCGCCTAAAACCTACTCTTTCGCTAGCGGACCATCGCCCTTCAGGTTCCCCGTCAAAACGGATCAGAGGCCTCGAGATGACTCCCCTCCGTCGAGAGCCGGTCCGGCAATTAACTCCTGACGATGGACCACGTTCGGCTTCTCGCCCTTCGACAAGTCGTATACCTAAGAAGGCATCTACTGAAAGTCTCCGTCCTGCCAGCGGGCAGCAATCTGAGATATCATTAGTGAGCAATCAAAGCGTAATTGGATCGGAAGGGAAGCCCAAAAAATTCGGTTTACAGAGGTCCTCTGCCAAGCCTAACATGGCAAAAGGCGATAAGGCCTCTGACGATCTATCGCAAATGGTGTCTCGTGCTTCCAACTTTATGACCCTGGCGCATGTTAAAATCAACGATGTCGTTCTTTGCCTGAGTTATCAGGGGAAAGGGGAGCGCAACATTGAAGATGTGCATGATTTTGTCTTCAGGCTGCCCGTGCTTGAATATCGAAACAAGACCTGGTCAAACCTTGACCTCGCCCTTCGACTCAAGAAAGATGTTATCAAAGCTCTCATCTCCCATACACCAGCGATCCTCGGAAACAAGTTTTCCCACCATCGCCCCACGAAGCAACAACAAAAACGTCTTCGAGAACTCGCCTCCTCATCTCAAGTTCTTAGTGTGACCGACATTGGCCAGGAGATACCCACTGCGCCATCGTCAGATGGAGGAGGTAGTGTTATTAGCCACAGCTCTGCTAGCGAAAGATCTGAATCCCCACCCCGTCGTTCCTTCACTTCAGCTGCTTCACCCCTTGGCCGATCACACTCGGTGTCATCCAGAGGGGCTGCTTCTTCACCGAATCTCCCCGTAGCATCAGACTCACGGTCCGCCAAAAGTGACCACATTTGTAGTCGCGATGATGTATGTAACCCCACGGCTTCCATACTGATCCACATCACTTAACTAAATATTTAGGGCTATCATCTATTCCGTGATAGAGTCTCGAGACAAGTGGCGGGCGACCAACGATCTGTCAACCAAAGTAATGGCGATGGTCATGATAATGACGTGCCAGATGAAGGGTGAGCCTACTTTCTTTGCGCTAGTTTTTAATCTTATTATTTTTGGATGATGTTCTTAGCATATAGAAATGATCAAAGAAACTGATTTGGTGTGTTTGTGTCTTTTCTTGTCTAGACGACTGAAAAACTCTTTCTCCCACTTTGGGCGGAAGCTGCTGGGCTCTCGGGACTCGCGGGACTCGAGATGCTCTTGAGAAACAAGGCTGCTTACTCAAGTCAACATCGTCCTCACCTGCGTCTTCACCATCGACTTTCCTTCTTCGTATGCCTCCCTAACGTGCAACTATTCGAATCAAAATATTCGCATATATACCCTTTCATACCTCTCTACACCGGTCCCCTATTCCCTCAACGTGCATTCCATAACTTTCCAACATTATCTTCACTTCCCGTTTCATACAGAAACTTCTTTCATAATTTACTTGCTCCATTTAGTGTTTCCTTGTTGTATTGTATGGTGCATGTCGACGGGATTGGCTTCATCGGCGGGCAAAAGAGATGACAAGGAAACTGCATATAAATGGCGTTGCCCGAATCTCTTGTGTTGCATCCATTGTCCCACATCTACTATCCACAATATATACCCCTTATCATTCCCTCCGTCACCATTATCACAAAGCCCCCTTTGGGCGCTTTGAATGTTGGATATCTGATTTATATTTCCTTGAACTATTTTGTTTGTCTTTCCTTTCATGTATACCTCCTACATCATGCATTGTCACTGGCGCATTCTTGTTTAATTTTACGCCCTTCGTGTTTTTAATCACAGGTAATTTCCATGTCTGCTTCTACTTTCAAGCCATTCATCTTCTTTGACCTTATTCAAGCTTACATATACTTTTAATGTTCCTGTACGCATCGTTCAACCTTGGGGGGATAAAAAGCAAAGCCACAAGGGCGGAAGAAAACGGCGCCTTGTTCCTAACAGCACTCACTTCGTGTTTTTATGCAGGCACTTCTCTAGTCCTCCGTTTGGCTTCCACATATTTTTTCTTTCGTCCTCATTCCCTTTTGTTCAAGATTTTAGTATGACGCACTTGGATGTGTCTTGTGATTCTGTATGTGCCTGAGGAGATTTCGTCCTTTCGTCCTTTCAAGTTTCCTCCCTTGGCTTTGCTCTCTTTTTCTGTCTAATCCAGTCTACACTCAGTACATAGCAATATCGAACGTGTAGTTACGTTTCGAAACAAGTTTATATTGAGGTGGATAATTTATATGATCAGAGTATAAATACAGAACTGGTGACTTGCAGAGCTCCAGAGTTTTGAGCTTCCAGTTTGCTTTCATCAGTTGCTGTAAAGTTACTCGTTTACCTATCCAGGTAATTAACCAATTAAAAGTCCATTTGGGCTTACCAGGTAGTTAAATGGGCCTCCTTCTATTTCTCTTGAAGGTATCACTGCATTGTTGAACAGCCGATTATTTTGTTCGGTTTAACCAGAGAATATTTTCGAGAATGGACAGGGAGCTATTGTCCGCAAACTCATCAAGGAAGATGCGCAGGACAGAGTCTACGACCTCATTTTCGAGGAGTAGTTCCGCTGAACAGCTCGAGAAAAACCTCAACCAACGAAAACGAGCTACCCTCGGGACTATCCGTGCGGAATCACAGCCTCATAGAAATCAGCTTCTATTGTCTTCATGTCATTTTCATATTTCTTCTCCACCCTTTGCCAATGATCGTCACAATTGGAGCACTGCACCAACTGTCTTCAATTACTCTCTCTTCCGTTCACTTTGTGGATTTAAATTCGTTATTTTCATGTTTTCTTAATGGATAGCTAGAAGTTGAATTCAATCCTATTTGTTCATGCCATCATTTCGATCTGTTTGGTCGAGAGACGGGTATTCCTGAGTGATAAAGCTGACGTTCTGCTTTGGCCGACTCCGGAATTCTCAGAGGGGTCGCTCGAGAAAGAAAATACGCATATGGCATCTCACATCTTTCAGATATCTTTTGTTATCATCATAGGGAGAAACCTACAGATACTGAGAAACGAGGCCTATTTCTGCGATTTAACTGTTGCAGATGAAGTTTACATTCCTAGCACACAAAAGGGAAATGTTGTATGCAGCTTTGAAATCCATGTGCTGCGGAATTGTTAGGGATTTCCTGTCTCAGCTCTATGAATTTCTATGTGCCACGCAGTGTTTTATATAGTCCTAAAATAAAAGCCGAAAATAACGCGAAAACTACTAATGATACAGGGACAGAAGAATGGTAGGTAATGAGGATATAAGGGTTAATGGCAGACAGACAAAGGCCAAAAGTATGCGGAAGATATATGGAATCCCAGGTCCCACGTGCCAAAGAAAGTGGTAGGGTACAAAGTATTATTACAAACTGTTTAGAAAAGCTATAGATTTCATCAAACTTCTTCTGTTGGTGGAGGAGACGTTTCCTTCATCTCATCTCTGTTCTCATCTCTACTCGTAGGTACTGGTTTGTGAAAAGGTCGCATGGAAAACAACCGTCCAGAGGTGGAGAGAAATCGGGTTTCGGGCTTGGGGCCCATAATGGTGTCAGCGTAAGGCTCAATGTTTCGAGTAGCATTTTTTGCCCAACCGGCCTTTTCTCGCCGCAAATCCGCTTGTACCCAGGGAATGGTGATTAGGGTCCATATCGCGGCCCAAACAAATGGGAGAGTCCATCCTATCTAACCAACCAAAACGGGAGAGCTTGTTAGTGTATCATCACGGTTTTCTAGGGATTCAGATTCAGGTAATTAAACTAACCACATAGGCAGGATCTCGTGGTGTTGTAAATATTAAAATAGTCGTAATTGTACCGAAGATGATCGAGCCACCTGCCCAGAAACAGTTCATCTCAAAAAGCATTTCTCGAAAGTATGGGCTTGCTAAATATCTATCTCGCAGTGCTCGTCGATATTTCTGACCACCTCCGCCATCCACTGCGACGATATCTTCTATTAGGACATACAGAGCTGTCGGCATTACTGAGCCTTTGGGCGTGGAAGATATCCGGAATGGCGCTTGGTATCCCTTGGCACGTAGAATATCGAGGGACAGATGTACTATTCCAAAGTAGTACATGACTGTAGGTAGGGGCATTGCAAGGAGGCGGACTTAAGGTTGATAATGTTAACTTTTTGCAAAGCGCTATGCCGCCAGAGGGTGCTACAAGCACAACTTACTAGGTGGATTCTCTTGGACAGTTCCACTGTGAGGACGTTAGCTGGTAATGGAAGAAAACTTCATGGTTAGTCCAGGGTAAAAGACGTACACTATCAGTTCAACAGCCAGAATGAGCCATACTATGGTGAAGTTGATTTGAAAGAAGTCCAGCTATGATATTTATTTTAGTAGTTGAGACACAACATGGTAGATTTCCGATATCCGACCACTTACCCATGACCTCCGCGCATTCAGCGGTCTTGATACAGACCCTTTTCTGAACAAGTGGTAAAATCTATAAAAGTATTCGGCGATAGCAACTCCTCCAAGTGCAGCAGTACTGATAGTAAAAACTGAAAATGAATTTATTCAAATAGTTAGTCCAAGCTTTCAATATTCTGCGTACCAAGGGAAGGAGAGACATGTAATATCAAACACACCTAAATTAGGAGATAAATCGGTAAGATACCATAATGTGAAATAAAGAATCAACGGCTGAGCAAGCGTATCAATGACAAAAACGGCCCAGAAGAGCGCAATTGACCGCTTGCGATCTCTGAGGGAGTAAGGTAGCTCTGGCGGACCAGAAACTGGAGGAACCATAGATTCGTCCATCAAATTAGGGTTAGACAAGATAAGCCTGGTACATGGTAAATATATTTGACAACAATCACAAGAAATTGGCGGTTGTCGACCAATTTATAGAATAACGGATATCAAGCAGAGTCCGGGGTTTTAATAGTAGTAACAAATGCGTCAGTGGGTGGCGGGCATGGGGCTAGCTATATATTAGCCCGATTAGATTTTATGTCCAACATATCAAGCCACTTCAAATAAATATTCCAACCGATAAACAGGCGTGGAAAATGCCTTCTTTTTACCACTAGGTATGAAATTGTAAGTTCTGCGGGCATGGCGTACGTACGCTGTATTGACGTCAGCCGTTGACATCATCCGTTGCAGGGAGCTAGTTAACTAGTGACGTTTTTCGTGTTGATTTTTGAAGACGGACGAATGCTGGAAATATGGAGAAAATTTACCTCGAAGTGGACAGGAAGCTTTGCATATTGGGTCCTGCTGCTTGCCTTATAAAAAAGAAAGATATTGCATGTTCTGAAGGAGAGATGTTTCGAAGACCTGGCAAAGCCAAATTCAAATTCTCAACTGCGAAATCACTTTTCCGGGAATAGCAACGCCGTCTCGTGTTGTGAGTGAACACTTAACGAGTGGACATGCGCCCTCAACATCAGGGTTAGGGGTTAGGATTGGGGTTAGTTAACAATAAGGGCGTCCTTGGGGGGAGAATGTCGAGTTTATTAGATGGAACTGGTCATCAAGTTCCCTCTCAGGCACGTCGGTTCCTGGAGGATATAGTTAACTGATAGTTACATTGGTCGATCCCCTGAGAAGGATCAATTGCAATAAGGCCCAATCAAGGGCGCTCTGGATCTTGCTGGTACACGATTTGTCATACTCAGAATTTTATTAACTAACTAGTTATGCATAAATGCTCCGTAAGTACGGCCGTAAATCCCAGTTGGAAAAACTTAATGCTAGACATGAAGGCATTGGGATGATGCTGCTGCAAGGAAGAAACGACTCTATGGGCACAGCCCCGATAATTGACCTCCAGAGGGATTGCCCGGCCCATCCCGTTCTTGATGTCAGCCAAGTTGAGAGATTCAAAGCGACCAGCCGTTCGACGCAGCGCAAGCTTGAAATGCAGATATGTATCTCTCGCTCTGTGGTTTGTGTCTGAATCGGGGCAATTCTTTAGAACGATCCCGAGGTCATGTGAGGACGTCTGCCATATTACGTAAGCCCGCGATGTTCGCCACAAAACAGAAGATCTGCGGAGTTCCTGTAAATTTTAATTCGACCTCACTGTCAACCTCTACGCCGCAAGTTCGAATCCCGTCATCGGCATCGCGAGGGGAATGGAGAAAATATATCTCTAGTGTTAGAGTTCCTGGCTGACAGGGGAGAATGGGACAATGGCTCGGAGTTTGAGGGATCTTATCGATTTTTTGCTCGCGGAGATATCGCTCTGTGGCGAGCGAGGTGCGTATCACTTTATTTGCTCACCACCCTCTTTTTCCTGCTCTGGTTTTGAAAGCGTCTTAAGGAAAGGGTGGTGTTCACATCCAATTTTTGTGATATTTCATGCGAGAACTTCCTGTAGCTCATAGATGGGCAACTTACTGGAGCTCTCCTATCTGCTGTTTCCGCTACTAGAATTCTTTTTGGATTGGGACGGAGACGTCCGCGTGGCGAAGAATATAAACCAGCTGACACACACACAGGTGCATCTCCGGCTGATGTGCTCTCCTTCATTGATAACTTCTATGTTCCATCACCTCAGCAAAGCCACCTGCATGCTCAGCATGACGGGGTTGCTCGTCGCACCCCAAATGTTGACCATAGATTCAAGCAGAAAGCCTGGTTATGGCTGACAAGGCACCCAGAGGTTTCGGTTGGCAAGAACAAGGAAGGAAACAGCCTTGCGTTGGATGAAGTGGAAGCCCGATATGCCCAAGTCTCTGCCGGGGAGCAGCAGTCTTGTAATACACCAACTGCCTCCCCACCAGATGACCCTGTCCATGTTGACCCTCAGATTTCCGGGTCTATTTTGGCGAAAGGTATACCCCCGAATTCCAGTGGTGCACTCCGAGTGTTTGTTTCAGAAGAGCGAATGTGGCTTGCAATTACGGGCCATGAGCGTGACCACTCAAGGGTTCCTCCTCTGGAGTTTGATCTTTTATCAATCATTGCCTCTCGAAAATGGCAGGGCGTGATGCAACCAGAGTTGCCTAAACTTAGCGGCCAAGATAAGCGCTCAGTTCCCAAACGAACAGACTCTTTAAGTCGGAAAGGATATATCGAAAAAAGGCCTGTTCAATATATGTCGGCACGAACGAGTTTATGCACACTCCGGAAATTTGTCCGCTCAAAATCATCTGGTAATATTGTTGGATTGCCTGTGGAGAATGTGGACTCCGTGCCCCCTGAGCTGAGCACTGTGATTGATTTTCCTGTTCTTCTCGAAAGGCTGTTCCAATGCTTGAAGGAATTCAATGTCATTACTCGTATTGATTTGAAGGCTAAGCTTGGAATGGATGGTCGTTGGCGGGGCAGAGTTCTGGGAAGAGCAATTCGAAAGTTAGAAAGGATAGGTTGCATCCGTCGTGTGAGAGCCGTGTCACAATATTCCGATATGATGAGGACTCGTCATCCGTCTGTCATGCTTATCCGGGATCTTACCGAAAATGATCTTAGGCTTTTCCTAGAAGATAGTCGCAGCCTGGTAACATACCTGGAGCAGGAGGATATGGATGCTGTGGAAATGGACCAGGATCAAGGCCAGCAGGATACTGTGGATGGAATTCCAGAGATCAAAAGAGACATTGCCAGCCCACCTGAGGTACAATATTTCGAGCAGATGGGACGGGTCGTCCCTAGGTGGATCCCAGACCGCACTTTGCCAAACATGATATTTGACATAGTCGACAAAAGCGGGCGAGAAGGTAGTACAAATCATGTGAGTGAGCCAGAGATTGAAACCACTTTTCCTTTCAACTAATCCCGATATTCAAGGATATCACCAATTCCTGTATGGGCGCATTTTATAGGCGGCCAACTGAGTCACTGATGAGCCGCCTTGTTGAGACCTGGCAGCTTTCTCAACCCCTTCACCTTCGACACCTCGCGTTGGTCCGAGACGTCGCCCTTCGGGGCACGGTTTCAATGTACATCCATTACTCTTTGCGCAATTTTGCTTCTCTCGTAAATGAGGGTCAAGTTTCCTGGGAAGCAGTTAAATTTTCACGAGAGGGAAAAGGTGTTGCTAAAGTTCCACCAGTTGATGCTATTCCCCAAATTGATGCGTACGGTTTTCCTGCTGACGAGAGGCCATCCAACCTTCTGAATGACGGGGACGCAACCCTTAAAAGCTGTCTTGAGGCTGTGAGACCCAGTGATTATACTCTTACGACGTTTGATCCTGTCATTATAAAACGCAGAAATGGAAGTTATGGTACGTAATCATAACAGACTATGCGTTTATTAATTTGGTACTGACTTCTCAAAGGCGTAAGTTTCAGAGGCAAAGAATTGTCCGGAAAATCCCAAAAAGCTTTAGGCCTGTTGGGTTTAGAAGCCAGCTCCCCAGCTGCTGAAGGGGAGTCTCCACGCGGTGTTAGTTACCAGGGACGGAAGCGGAAAGAAACCGCAGCAGATGTTGATGAGGAATTTGCGGAAGAGGCAGAAGTTGTACGATCATCAAAGCGCCGGCAGAAGGCGGAAGAGTTTGTTGATCCATACGCTGGAATGACAGAAAAGGAGAAATTAGAAGCTCAAGGGTTTGATGAGAGTTGGACTGAATATAGCGTCCTCCTACTCGAACGACCTGGCCCTGGTATCTTTTTAACTCCAACAGGGAGACGGCGACCCATTGGGAAAGCAAGAGGTCGCCCAGGGAGAAGTCGGATTGCTATAATCAAGTTGGAAAAATTGAAGAAGTTTGATTGGTTTGTTAATGAGCAAGACACGGAGATCCCGCCGGCTGGAGACGGGGATCAGGGCCAAGCCTCTGCAGCAATTAGTAATGCAGAGTCCATTGCAGATCAATCAACATCACAAACTCAGCAGAGAACTACAACAACTCAACTGACTGATTCATCGAAATTAGCGGAAGATGTGGATCTCCAGGAAGTAATCCCTCTTGGTGCTCAGGCTCCAGTGAACAGACCTTTGGTATCCAAAAAAAGGAAATATGTTGCAACTTGTGAGAATGAAAATGGGAAACTGGGAACCTCCTTAACACCCCAGCCAACTCCTAAAAGAAGGGGTAGGCTGGTGAAGAAGAACCCCAAAGTTGCGAGTATCGACGCTACATTGCAGAACGGTGACAAGCGTTTCGACCAGGATACTGTGGCAGGTCATACAAGAATAACTGGTCATGGCTCTCCTGCTCCTCAGCTCAGTGATAAACGTCAGCAAGCCCTACGAGATGTAGCAGCAGAAGTCACACAGACCAAAGCCAAGCGCGGGACGAAACGAAAGTTTGTTGATAATGTTGCGGACTCAGAGCAATCAGCATCACCTCCAACTCCGGAAATCGTGTCAAGTGGGAGTGGCGATGTAGGATCTCCATCTTTTGACTTGGCTCCAGTCCTACCCTCTGAAGATATTCGACCTGTCTCTCAGTTGACTGATTCTGCAATTCATCCACTTTCCACCTCACAAACGTCAGAGGGTGGTAAGGAAAGAATTCCTCAGGGTCAGATAATGCAGAATGAAATCCATGCCACCGACAACGCATTGAATAAAGCAGGCGATGGCTCCCAGGTTGTGGAACATGAAGGAGAGGGTATAACCGACACCACCCACGAACCCCCTTTTCGAGGTGCATCCAATTTAAACATCATAAATATCGATGGAAATAACGAAAGCAGGACAGCTCAATCCCAAACCCAAGACATTGATCTACGAACTCCTGAACCAGTTTTGGCAACCAAGGGCAAAATCAAGTCCAAGAAGTCGGATACCCAAGCTGGTTCAATCGCGTTTCTTCGAAGGAAGATCGTCATGGATATTGTTGAGATATCTGGTGGGGTTTACCCTTATGGCACTGAGCTCTGGTACCCCTTTACCACGGCATGGTTTAAAACGAAACAGACTGGGAGGCCCGACTTCCGAACACTTCGAACTACAGTAAAATATATGACCGAGAGCGGGAAACTTAGGCAACTAACGTTCAGCGGAAGAAATAGTAAAGGGTTAGTGGTTACAAAGTCCATAATTGCGAAACCAGAGATTGCCGCAACTGATTCAGTAGTTATGGATTTGCAGAGAGCAATGTTGGAAGCTGACCCGCAACAATACTTCCCACCCGGCCCTGAGATTAACCCGTCGCTTAGGAAGTCGCATCGGATCGTCCAAATTCCAGAAAAGAGACTTCCAGAGATAGAAGAACAGGTAACCGTAACGTTGCATCAAGTCCCTGTGAGGGCTCGACCTCCTGAATTAAAACCACCGCGTGTCCAGCGACCAAGATCAGGACCTGTAGAGCGTCTAAAGAGTACCATGCGCCGGTCACCTTCACATTCAGCTCTAAATTGGTTGACATCGCCGAATTCTGGCATTGCAGAAGGGGTGCCTCGGCCTTTAGAATATGTATTTCGCGATCCTATTTTATCAGGAGGTTCCATAACGGACTTGGAACTCAGTGTCCCCAGAAGACATCTCCCTCCAAGATCAAAACCTCCACCATATGCCACCATCCTACAGTCTATCCAGTCATTTCATCGTCCAACTGGGACGTTCGGGACTCTATTTGACAACAGGTTATGGCGGGGACCACCAGGAATAAAGCCCCGACTGGGTCAGATGGCTCCAAGTTTGCCTACAACTCTTGAAGATATTCTTTCTATGACAAAGAAACGGCCGTTCGATATATCAAATAACCCAGATCCCGTTTCTACTAGGGTGTTTTCTGAGATAGATGCAGTAGGCAGATGGGAATCAAAACATCCTGAGGTATTTGATTTGGAGAAAGACGGGTGGACGTACATTAACCATCGGATACCGGGCCCCTTCGAGAGTGCGCCGCAGGAGGGGCCTATACGATTTGAACCCAGTGAGCTCTCGCGAGTATCGAAGGAACGCTCAATGCCAATTTCCGAGGCTCCCCTTCGATCTCTAGCATCAGCGTCAGCCAGGGTGACTCAAGAAGAGCAACCTAATGATCACCTACCCTCGTTCCGCGGTCAGAAACGACCCGAGGGGCCCGTCAATCGGCGTCTCGAACAATTCCAGGAGTCTAAGACGGAGAAAAGAATTCCTAAAGCAGTTGGTCCGACTTCCCGAAGGACTAAGCTTATTAAGGTCCTCTCTAGCGACATAGTACAGAAGGTTACCGTGGCAATCGTCGTCGTTCGAGTTTTGGCTGGTGGAATGGAGGGTAAAATGATTGACTGGCAGCTCGTTACGTTGGCCTTTCCAAACCATGACCCTAAATTTATTAGAGACCGGGGAAAAGCTATTCTCTCCAGAAATCGACTTCAAATGTCCAAAATGCAAGGTGATTTCCAGGACCGGTTCGCGGAAGCGTATGAAAGGGATCAGGTGCCCCCTATCGACTATGGAGATCTTACCTCGTATGATTGGCAATGGATTGTCGATTGGGCTTGCACTCAGCTCGAGGGTCCACGAACCGATACGCTTCCAAGTTTACCAGCCACTCGTCAACAGTTCGACAGCCTTTTCGACATTCGCCAGGAACCCATACAAACTCTTGATGAATTGTACCAACACAACGCCCCAGCCACGATTCCTCGCAAGCAAGCTTTGCTGACTGGCACAAGCTTCGTAATTCCCGTTTCTCAGACCAAGATGAAATGGGAACATTCAAGTACTGAGCGACTGAATATAGCTAAAACTTGGGTACGAGCTAATGTTATAACGCCGGAGGAGTCTTATAACCCAGCGGATGCGAGGCGGATTCTCGAATGTCTTGGTGAAGAGCTCATCGGTCAGGCGATACAGTCTCTCATCACTGAACGTGTCATCTCGATGGGCAATAGGGGTAGAATTACTCCAGGACGCAACTATGATGTTACAGAACATTTCGTACACACCTTCGGTCGCAAACGTGCCATCGAAGCTACCCAGTTGAAACGGGCTTTGACCTTCAAAACAACAATCCTAGACACACAATTACATTTGGAAAAGAAATGCGCTGTGAACTATGACGCAGAGGATGGGGATATTCTAGTTCTTATTAATCTATTTGCGGAAGGCAGGATAACAATCTGGCCCGTGGACCCCCCAAAGGATAAATACGGTCTGACCGACGGCGGCTATCTCACCCGGCTCATGGACAAGGGCAAGCTCCGTTTCGATATCCAAGTCCTTCCTGTTCCAGATCGTTACATCTACGGAAATCCTGTGAATCTACCGAAAACGATCCCAAGGGGTGATATGCCCCCTGATTTCCCACCGCCCACTGGCCCCCCACCTCTCTGCAAAATCCCCCTTTGGTTTGACATCCATGGCAACCTTGTAAAGATGCTTTGGGATATGGCTGTTGCTGGAGTTGTAGGTTATCTGGCCTCTAGGCCTGGACTTACTACAGCTGATATTGGTCGCCTATTTCAGCCACATATTGCTGATTGGGAGGTGGCGTTGGTTCTGGAGTGGATGGAAGAAGCTGGTGTTGTTGAGAGACTTGGTGGTTTGTCCGGTTGGGCGGTGAAGGAGTGGTGGTGGATGATTATTCAGAATTGAATGCTCTTGGTTTAGTTGTTTAAGCATAAGTTGTTTCTCAGTGGGTGCAATAATTACTCCAAGAAGGGAGCAAAAAATGTATCATTATATCTTTTACTTTCATCGTTCTGTATATATAAATTGCGATTTGATTAATTAAAAAAAAAAAATAGCTGTTTCTGTGCGCAGCATTTCATCCACTGTTGAATATCCAATGCTGAAATTGTCACGCATTTGACATCTTTTCGTCTGCATGACTACACAGCCAAAAGTCAACGAGATAAAAGAGTCATCAGGCCAGAGGCATTATGTTCCAACCCGTCTCAGTAAATACGAAAAGATACTATCGAGCTACTACTGTCTTCATATATAGAGTAATCAAGTCTTAATTAATGTATGGGTAATTAAAACGGTGATATACATTTATATCTAAAACATGCTCGAACCAGTTATGTTATGACGCATGGGGGAAACAAGGAAAACGCCGTATCCACACGTAGTTATCGTTCATTAAGGAGTACCTTTAAGAAAACAAATGCCGTCCATGAATAAAAAAAAAATATCAAACGGGAATCAATCCCAATGCCGCCATTCATCCTCGCTCGTAGAACGCCCAGGCACACTACAGCCACCCTGCTGTTTATCAGGCGTGCTTTCATTCTCTGACACAACCTCCCCTGAGCGAGGATGGGGAGAGATGGAATGCAGAGTCTTCATCGAAAGGCCAGTTCCCGGCCGTTGCGTATTAGTTGCTCCATTGGAAAATGGGTCGCCATTACCAAGTCGTCGTGAGACATTGCTATGGTGTGTAGATGTTGTATGGGTAGAAGATGGCCAGTTTTCATATTGTGAAGGTGGTGGGACAGTGGCCGGACGCTGATGTTGTGACTGATAATGGTTTAACCGTTGAATTCTTCTACTCTCTATTCTTTGCTTTATCTCAAGCCAGTTGGAGTTTGTTTCCCAATGCCAGCCATCACCGGTGGTGTTACATAAGGGTAGCGCCCAGAGGAGAGGGTTTTCGCCGAAGAGATGTCTCAGGTTACGGCGCCAACCTAAGTCGAATGCATGTGGGAGATTTTCTTCATCTTGCTCGTCGAGATATTCGTCATATCGCGCTCTTTCACGAGCGTTCTCAAGTTCTTCGTAGGAATGATGAAGTGATCGTTGTGCGGGTGATAGTGGTTGATTGTGATTTCCGTATGTTTGTCCCTGCTCCGGGTCATCGGATCGTCGACTGGGAACGATTGGCGAACTCCGTTCTTCGCCCTCTTCAGCTCGTATGACACCAGGGGTGGCATTGGAACGCGCAACAGGGAATCGATGGCCATGGCTGTGATCCATCTGTCCAGGAGCAGGGCTAACCCCTTCTTGCCGGTAACGATCAAATGATCTGCGGATAGGAGCGAGGTATCTAGTCTTTTCTAGACATTCTATCGTAGTCAACCCTCTTGCCGCAAGGGTAATATGCCAGATCGTGAACGCCGACAAGACAAGGCCAATTATCCCAGAAATGAGAGCCAGTAGAATATTGGAGACCGGAACGAATGATTCGATGTATTGAGTCTGGTCCAGAATCTCTGTCCAAACCCAGGTTGCAGAAACTGCAAAGCATAACCAGGAAAACAAACATGTATATATCAAGAATAGCAGGAATGCTTTGTAGTTACGAAATCCTACGCAGGTAGCTAGCCAAGGGCAATGGTGATCCATCTTGAGGACACACCGCTTGCATGACGAGCAGTGGTGAGTCCGATCCGGTTTGACATTCTGACACTTTTTACAGAACCTTCTACCACCAGTTGAGTTTACCGTCAGGGACACGAAATCCGGTGCTTCTATGGAGGGGAGGGAGCTATATTCATGTCGGTTTGCATAATTATTCTTCAAAGGTCCTGTTGAAGGAGAACCCGGGTCCGTGAAGACAGCAACAGTATAGCATGTATTTGAAAGAAGGTAAAGAATTATTCCTAGAACCGATGTTGCAGGACCTAGTTCCCGGTCAGTAAATCCGTTTTGGATATAGCTCGCACGAGCCAGTCGTAGTCCCTCGAGGGGGGGGGGGAAGAAAAAAAAAAAGGGCAACATACCAAACCACCTACTTTTTGACGACTGCATTCCTATGCGTGCCTCGACAAATACAGACCATGTCGTGAGCCCATACACAAACGCCAACGGAAAATATAACAGCACGTTACAACATAGGTGTTCGCATCGTCGAGAAGGATCCCGGCACTTCCGCCTCGATGGCGTTGTTGTGGCCACGGAAGAAAATGCGTCCATCGTGTTAAATCTCCGGTTTAATGGAATGGGTAGAATATATGTATCTCATGAAGAGAATCTGATGGCGGTCATTGTTACGGCGAACGAAGATGTAGGCCGTGGGGGAAAAGGGCTCTGTTTATTCGGATCGTGGGCAGGGACTAAAGTGCTCAGGCTTGCCGAAACGCTGAGACTCAGTGTAAAGGATCAAAGAAAAGAAAGAAGACGGCTATCGTAAATGATGGTGTATTATGTCTTGTCGTCGTTGTTTATTGTTATTGTTATCAACGACCCTCGAAGTCGACGTCCGACGTAAAACTTGGAACTCGGCTCCTACAATTACATAATCATAACTAGTTAACTAGTTAGTTAGTTAGTTGACCCCTAACTATCACCATCAAACATGCTCCGGGTAAAGCCACCGCGTTCACGGTCCACGATCTGAAAGCTTCATCACTCTATTTCTTTACACGCGAGGGACACCGTCGTCAATCTTAGCTTCTTGAATCGAGCGATCCCATAAGTTTGTTTTCCATTCCTTCGTATGAATTGCGGGTTTGTTGGCGGTTGACACGTCCAAATATACAGATGCGTGCTTGACCCGAACAGCTTCACTTGTGTCGAAAGTTTTTGCTCCTTGATCGAGATTTGCTGTTCCTGGGTCAACGGCGACCCAGATCTTGTCCAATAAGTCAACCAGGACAAAATCGGCGATCATTGCAACGCGATCGTTGGGGAGACAGCGGTATTCTGGGAATGCACGTAGTCCATCATCTCAACCTCCCGCTGCTGAAAAGAAGCCCGCTGTTTTGAGAATTTGATGGCAACAGCGCTTCCATCTGTGTGATGGCTCTTGATAACGCAGTTGCAAAGATACTCATATATCAACTGCCCGCGAATCGGACCGTCATAGCGACATGCTCCGTTTTCTAAGGGGGTGGTTTTGCTGTCCTGGACATTCTGCTGGCCGAATTTTCTTGAGAACAAGGCAAGCATTGATGGGAGTGCAAGGAGTGGCAGGTTCGCTGACTTGCTCACTACATAAATAGACGGAAAAGGAGACCGACCCGAATGGGGTGTAGCTGAGGGACGTGATGTGTTTGCAGGCAGGAGAGCAATTGTAATCGAGGTGAATTAATTCATCGTATGCCCTGCAGTTCTCAACGTGTTGTATAGTACCTGTCTCGCCATCGACTGTATGAACACACTCAACAAACCATATACTTGGGATCACGGTATTTAAAACTACAAGATTAGCTTTTCTACCTTTTTGGGATTGTTGTACTTGGGCTTAGGAATTGATATTGCCAAAGCTTTTTAAGCGTTTCCAAGGAAACGAATAGTTAAGTGGGGAAGTTTTACTTCTGTAATCCGGATATAATCCTCACCCCTCAGCCTCTTCATACCCAAGCAGCAAGCAGCACACACAATGGCAAACGAGACCCCTGTCCATTTCTTCGATATCAACTCCAACCTCCCAAGTATGTATATACGTACATGCGCATACATCACACAGCGCAAATCTAACTATTCCCCATTATGAAACCCCCAACCCCTCCCCCCCCACAGCTAACCCAATCAAACACAGTCCCCTCCAAATCCTGGTCCCCCAACACCCTTCGAACCCGCCTCGTCCTCAACTTCAAAAAGATCCCCTACACCCAGTCCTTCATCTCCTACCCAGACATAGCCCCCCTGTTAAGGTCCGCCTCCGTCCCTCCTCTCCAGGGGAGCAGAGTTCCATACACATTACCCGCAATCGCCCATCCATCCAGCATCGGCACCTCCCACGGCGTGCTTAACGATAGCTGGCCCATTGCCTTGCATTTGGAGAAGACATTCCAGTCCCCACAGCATCCCACCCTATTCCCATCGGCAGGCAGCTATGCGCTCGCGCTAGCGGTGGCGAGGGTGTTGAACGCCATGCTCCCCCCAACGCGAATGATCATCCTGCCTAAAATCCCGCAGATTCTAGATGAGCGGGGCGCGGAGTACTTTCGGCGGACAAGGGCTGAGTGGTTTGGGAGGTCTATGGAGGAGATGCTGTCGGACACTGAGGGCGTGGAAAAGTCATGGGCGGACGTGGAGGTTGAGTTGAAATTGTTGGCAGATATGTTAAGGGGCCCACCTGGTGTTAGCGGGGGCAAGAAGAAGGGGCCATTTTTTGAGGGAGAGCAAGCCGGCTTTGCGGATCTTTTGTTTGCGGCGTTTTTGGCATGGTACGAAAGGGGCGATCGGAAGGATTGGGAGCGTGCAGTGAGCATTGGGGATGGGGAGATTAGGAGGTTTTGGGATGCTTGTTTGCCGTGGATCAATGGGCAGGGGGAAGAGAAAGAATATGTCTTTGACAAGTAGGGTTGAGACGCAATTTGCATCCCTGATTTTGCGTTGCGTCAAGGCCCCCTTCCCGCCCCCAAGGGGCATTAATAATAATTGCCTGTGGAAGGACGCCCTTTGGAACGTATTATTTAGGGAACCTTCGTTCGGGATATAATATAACCCCGGACGCCAGGACAAATACCTATCCAAAGTGGTACAAGGAGGAAGGTACTTGGAATCAATTAGTCCCCCAACTAGATATTGAAAAGCGTAGGACACCAAATGGGAGAACGTAGTGTATTAATTTTGTATACAATGCGCAATCAAAGAGTGTGCCTGCTCATACATATGGTTATGTATATATCTACGCCTCGCTCTCCCGGAGGCCAGGGAGAAAACAGTAACCAAAAAGATTATACAAGAGAAACGTATGTATGTGCCACATGGCTTTTATTTATAATATCACGTCCGTACCTTGGGTACTCGCCGCATGAGAAAAGGAAAGACACCAGAATAGTAACGGGGGCATATTCCGTAAAGGGTACCCGGGTGCTGTAAAAAGAAGGGACGTAGAAAGCGAAACAACACAGGAGAGAAAAGGAACAGAAAAAGATAACGCCGATGATATATGCAACTGGCGAAATGCATGCCCCAAATCTTAAGATAGTAGTAAAACAGGGCGAAAAAAATATTAAATAAGTACGTAACGAACAATGAAGAGCGGGGTGAGATTAACAGGAATGTGCAACAGTTTGGCAACGCGAATCATCAAGCATGAAATTGACGAGAAGTCCAATCTATTAGAGTATGGAAGTTGGTATTAAGTCCGAGGAATTATGACTGATATCTAGTATCGGAATGTCATGTTCGGGTATCACAAAGTCGAAAAACGGAGGGCTATGCAAGGCAAAAAAGTCATCGGTAACTTTATTGGAAGCAAAACACGGTGGAGATCCCATTCAGAGGATTTAAACAATCTTTCCAACATCACACCAATTCTTGCCTTGGATAGGCTAAATAAAAACGCCAAAGGTCAGGTTAGCCATATAATGGAAGGATATTAGCGAAGCGGCAACCAGCCTCCGAAGAAACGGCATATCGGGGTAAAAATAAAAACAAAAATAAAAACACAAAGGGGGGGGGAGAAAGAACTCACCAAACACGACAAATACTTGCACCACCCACACTTCGACCGATATTTGTAAAAATTATTCAACAGCAAAATAAACGCAATAACAATTCCCACAAGTGTCCCCGCACGCACAAGCCACCACACCCACCAGAGGGGCTTACGCCCCGTAAAAAACTTCACAGGCTTCGTAGCCATGAACTTATTCTTCTTCTTCTTCTTCTTCTTCTTCTTTGATTCAACTCCGTCCTCGATAAGCGCCCCACTGGCAACCACAGGTTCGTACGGGTCCCCAGCAGCCCCGATGCGCCGTAGTCGATCAGGTGAACGAAGAAGGGAAATGCCCAGCACAAGTCCAACGAGAAACCCTCCGATATGCGAAAAGTTATCCAAACCAGGAAGCAACCCGAGGACAAACGATATCGCAATCGTGATTAGCATGATGATGAGTTCGGTGACGGGTTTTGGTCTGCTACCCCACGTATAAAAGAGGTCTAAACAGGCGAGGGCCAGGATGCCGGAAAGACATCCCGAGGCGCCTGTAGATGCGATGCCGGATGAAGCAAAGTTGGCACCGAGAATAAAGCCAAAGATCCCCGAGGCGAAATAGACGATGGCATATCTCCACCAGCCGATTGTTCGTTCCATGTCCGCACCAATGGTTAACTGGGCCATCATGTTGAAGCCAATGTGGACCAGGCCCGCATGGAGGAACATGGGTACGATGAAGCGGAACCACTGGTTGGGTTCTGGTTTCTGCTTGATGCTCCCGTTGGGTTTTGGATCGGGAACTTTGTGGCGTTTCCTGAACCCGCAGAGTTCGGAGAGGGGACATTGGTTTTCGGGAGCGATGGGGTCTGAGGAGGTGGTATGGGGGCAAGGGAAGGGGACGAGATCGCCTGTGACATTCTTGTTGTTTTGGACACCTTCCTCGTTCCGCATGCAGGGAACGAATCGGGCACCCATGTTAATCTGGATATAGGGTGACGGACCGATCATAGGGTTAAACGCTGGTCTAGTCATGATGGGGGAACCTGTCAATTTGGCTGGAAGAGCAGAGAGACAACACATGAACCGTCAGTAACAAGGTATTTTTCTTTCACAAAAACCATATCATACGGTTAATCAATCGATCGAATAGGGATTTCTTTAAGGACATACCACTTCGCACAAGCTCCCCAATAAAAACCGCAATCTGCACAGCTGTCAGAAAATACGTAACCCACGGTATTTTCTTCTTAAACCAGCGCCTCCCCTTCCAGCCTCTAGGATGATCCCCCATCGGGTTCGGGTTCAACGGCACGCGCTGGCTCTCACGGTCCGGGCGGTAATGCGTATCTGCATGCATCCACTGTGGCTGTCCACCAGTGGCGGTCTGGACATTGTTCTTCAGAGGGATATCGTCTGCATATTGATCAGTCCTATGCTGCCTTCCCATCATGACATCGGCAGCAGCACCACCTCCTGTCACGACGCCATGGCTGTGGACGGTGGGATAAGTAGGATAGTCAAGATTCGAACCGTGAGAATACTGACTAGGATCCCGGTCAAATGGTTTTCCATAGACTCCGTATGGCGAAGGAGAGTGTGCTGGGGGAAAGGTATCGGTGTTGGAGTGTGGATATAACGGTTGTTGAGAGCCGTAGGGATTGTAAAATTCGTTAGCCGCCATCTTCTAGAACCTTTCTGGAGCCTTTCTGGGAGAAATAGGACGAAGGGATGGAGGAATGGAGAGTCGGCTTTTGATGCGCTAAAGGCAAAATAAAAATAAAAAAAATAAAAATAAATAAATAAAAAATAAAAAAAAAAAAATAAAAAAAAATACGCGGAAAACGGAGATGATGGATGGGATGATGCGCAGGACGGGGCAAAGGTAAAGGAAGGTTGTGAATAGCCGTTGTTCAAAACAAGCACGAAGGCGCCTTCTCTGTTGCACCAAGGTGTTCGACGGCTTTGGTGTCTCTACTGCGTCGCAGGAAGTAAAACGAACGTGGTTGACCGTGTCTACAGACCAGCTCTCAGCCTAGCTCTCAGCCTGCAGTGGGAACAAGCGAAGGTTTGGAGTGTTCCGGGGGTTGAGATCAGGAACAAGGGGCTGGGGCTGGAGGCTGAAGCGGGCGGTTGGGTGTCACATGAACACCGCAGGTTGGCATTCCCCAGAGCAGCTTAGCGTGGGAACAGCCCGGCTGAGGCGGTGTGCAGAGGGGCAGAAAGACAGCGGGAAGCACCCCAGTTCGGGGGAACGGTTGACCTTGATGCTCCTACACGGGGATATGCGGGTAAAGCCAACTGGTTATATACACTGCTGGGCGTTGGAATATTTAGATCCACTGGTTTATCAAAATGTTGTTGTTCGTCTTTGATCGCCGGTGATGCATGCCCTCAGATAGAACTATTTGAGTGCAATTGAGTTACGTGTTGTTGTGGCTGGAGAAGCATGGATAGTTGGAACTAGTCGTTAATGTTGCAACCAGCGTCAATGCTAACGTCAACATCAATATTTTTCCCACTGAGCAAAATCGACACCTCACAGAAATTGTATATCTGTCCTATTGATATCCCATTGTAGCCATCGATCCTCAATCTAAGGCAACCATCTTTCTTTCTGTTTATGAAACAATTTCAATCCCTTTTCCTCGTTTCAATGCCATTCCATCCAAAAAGGCGACCTGCCAGGCGCTAAACTAACACCTGGGATATGATCGTGAAACTCAAGATAACTTCCTATGTGGTGATCCTATCTAACCAAGTCCATTCCAAATTCAGAAGTGAAGGGCAAGAGATGAGAAAAATCAAAATCGTCCATAGGGGCTGTGGTTGATGGTGCATCAACCAGGATCCATCATTAATTGATGCAAAACTTGGAGATCCCGCGTGATAATCCGTTCCCTCGCCCGGTCCTCCAATTCCGATGAGTGCACATGTCTCCCTGAAAACACGGGATGGTTCGTCAAGGCCTAAATCTCAAGGATATTTCCATACCAATAATCATCATTATGCCGCTACCATTACTCCTAAGTAAAGGAGTTGCAGGAGGAGCGAAATAGTGCATCGCACCAGAGCACCCAAGGGGATTCTCGATACATGTTTCGGAAAGTGGATGTGATCCGGGGAACGACGATCACAAACCTGAGATCCGGCAGGGAATGCGTCATAGTTGTTTGTTTGTCTTTGCAACCATGAGTGACCATCTCCTCCGCTTTCCAATGGGTATATGTACCTGACCGTGTACCGTTCTCTCCCCGCTCTCCTCCCCCCCCCCAACCACTCTCCCCAACACACACACAAAAAAAAAAAAAGAAAAAGAAAAAAAAAAGAAAAAGAAAAAGAAAAAGAAAAGAAAAGGAAAAAGGAACAATGCCTTTCCTTTTGTTTTGCCAGATGACAAAGGCGCATAGAGGCAGAGTAGAAGATAAACCAAAAGAAGTTCTGCTACTACATGGATGATTCTTTGTCAGCAATACCTGCCTAGGCCTGATAAAATGACAGGAATTCATTTTACCTGGTCACTTATCAACATTTCCAATGGTGGGCATACATACCGGAAGCGAAAGGATAATACAAAAAGCCCCCCCAAAAACCAAGTCTTGCTTCCTAATCCGACCCCTCTTCACCAACATTCATCGGAGCTGATATAACCTGTCAAATCTGTGGCAGCGAAGGCGTTGGCGATATCGCCGCTTCCGCAATTCCGGCACCAGCACAAATCCCAGTTGAAGCCCCCGTCACATTTGCCAAAGTCAACGACACAGTAATCGACTCCTTCACCCCATCCGTCCCCGTAAGAATCCAAACAAGCCTGCTAAGTTTCTGAAACAGCAATGGCGGGAAATACAGAAACAACGCCCATACCAGCAGTGAGAGAAACACGAGCAGGAAGGAATTGGCGACGAATTTCTCCTCGGGCGTCATGACGTAGATGCCATAGGTGACTTCATAGCGGTAGTAGGCGAGCTGGAGACGGTTGGAGAGGCGTTTGAGGATGTTGGGTTGGCGGCGCCGGGAGGCTGGGTCGTTTATGGGGGGTGCGTACGGGTAGGTCCTGGTTGTTGTCATTGGATAGTGTTTGATCAGATGGTTGTATTGGGAGGGATCATAGGGCTTGGGTTGAACTGGAATAGGAGGGGAATGAAGTGTTGATGTTGACGTCCACGTCGAGGTGATGGAGGCTAAAGCCGACGCAAAGGGAAAAGAGAAGCGTTGCGTTTTGGTCGCCATCGTGGATTGAGTATAGAGGGGCATTCGGATGTTGGGGATATGGGAAGGAGATATTGAGATATCCGGCAGCAGGAGCGTGAGAAAGGGAGTTTGCGCTGTTCCAGCAGTTTGGTTTGCTGGTATAACTAATCCGCACAGGTGGCTGTTGCCGCTGTGAAAAGCAGGCAATGGTACGGGTATGGGAGTTGCAGCCACCCACGCTCACCGACTGGCTGCAGACTCGAGAGGAATCTTTTGCTGGGGTCGTAAAGTAGTAGAAGAGAACGTGGGGAAGAACCAAATAAATAAATGACAAGGGCCAAAGTATGGAAACTGGGATGGCAATTTCCGACAACACTTCTATTATAATTGGGGTCTCTTAAGGTAATGAAATCGAACCCCTATTCTAGCAATATTAACAATGGTATGTTCTATTTCGTCAGGCAAAAATCTCCCCGATGCTCAAGCTTCAGTAGTTGATCCAAGAAGAACATGAAGGACATGCAACGAAGGGCGGATGGAAGTGGTTTCCTTGAATATCTAATTGTTATAAATCAAGGTTCCATCCCTTCTTTTTTCCCGAATTTATGATATTCATATACCCCCGGCTTCCAGCCAATCGCTGGCGAGACCAAAGATGGTTTACTCCTGGGAAACTGGTATCAAGGAAAAGCGGGTTCTGGTAGTCGGGCGATCACATCTTGCCAGCTGAGCCTCAAGCCCTAAATTACCGGGTAAGTCCCCGCTGCTTGCAACCAGGAAGAAGCACAACATATGCCGGGGGAGGAGTGGGGTTCGAAGGGACCCGAGGAGGACCCGCAAAGTCCTGCTGGTCGCACCAGTGAAAAGGGGATTGATAAATAATACACTCCACTACCCGGCTAAATACGCTCTCTCCTCAAAAATTAACTATTCTAAAAAAAAAAAAAAAAAAAAAAAAATCAAACATAATTAGCTGAAACGTAAACCCGAAAATAACTAAGCGTTTCAATATAGTCAGTATGTGCCCAACCCCTTCAAACGTCTCAAAACCTGCAAAACTCTCCACAGCGGGGATTGTGAATTGATAAAGAAGAATTATCATCAAAACAGCAACAAACATTCAATTCTATCCTAATTCGTGTTGGGAAAAAAAAAGTAAAAAATAAAAAAAAAAAAAGTAAAAAATAAAAATTACATCTACAGACCTTTTATTCTCATGATGTCGTTTATTACTGTCAGCAGTGCGTGCTGAATGATGAGGAAATGACAAAGTAAATCAAGAGTTAATTCTTTCTTCATGACAGTGAATATGAGGAGGTTGAGTATAAAAAACAGCTGAGCTTCAGCAGTTCGATAGCAACAGATATTTCTTTAGAAAACATCAGCAAAACTAGTATTTTATTGAAATCTCTGAATTAAATAACAGGTCTATACTGTCACAGTGAATAATAGAAAGCTGGCCGACTATGTTAATATGGAATGTAAAAGTATTTGAATATATGATCATCAACTTCAAAACTCAGTCAACAGGGACTCAATATCATCTTGTCTGCTTATCACTCAGAGCTAATCTGTTCCCCTAGCTATACTATTGTCAACAAACTTGAGATACTTCACGGTCACCCCCCCTGTCACTGCTGAGCTGCATACAGTCTATATGACAGATGCTGGGCAGGTAGTTGGTGGCAGCAGCACCAATTCCCCTTCCATAGCGCCTGTAATCCTTGAAGAATATTCGAGAAAAATAAGCTGCCATCCTGACCTCCTCCCTGAACTCCCGGGTGGAGAAATCGAACTGTCTGAAAAGTCCCAAATTTGATATTTGAGAGGAGAGCAGGGACGCAGGAGTTGATTCATTGGATAATACTCTGGTTCTGCAGAGCTGCCATCTGCAGAGCTGCCATACGCAGAGCCAAAGCCTGGCACGAGTGGATTGAGGGGAGGATGAATTTTGTAGATATTTCAGATTATTTTATTAGCAGTTAGTGGATTGGGGAGTTGAGCATATGTTGGAGCTGCTGGGTTTTTGTGGAGCTGGAGCTGGAGCTGGAGCCGAAAAACAGAAAAGTTAGATGGATGTTTATTATTGAACCGTTTCTATTTATTCCGAGAAGCGGCTTTTGAATGTTGATGATAATGATGTTGAAGATGGGCATCACCTCAAGAACAAAAAATATATAAAAACGAAGAAAAATCAAGAATAGGCCATGATCGAACTAGACCAGGGAAAAAGAGTTTGACAGATGTGACTTTTGCTTCTTCCCCCCTTTTGTTGTCATTATCTGCCGACCAGCAACTCTGGGGTCCATAAAAAAAAAATGCACTGCCTGGTCACCACAGCGAGTGTTGCCATTCTCCACAGGAAAACCATGGAGGCAGCGCGATCCCACTCAAATTTTGGTGACACCTGCTGACCCATGGCAATGACATGAAACAATCGTTCAAGCTCAGTAAACCGATGAAAAACGGTTTGGCGATTGTGTTTGGATTGAGATTCCGACTTTATTAATTAATCTCACAAGCACTCGCCGGAGGTGCACACTTCATCAAACATCGCAGAGAACGACGCTGGAAGAAAGCTTGGTTTTTCCGATGGGTTCTTCCATGGTCTTACAATTCATACATATTGTTGTTACACAGAGTATCGTAGGCGATTTTCCATTTTTCCAACAAGGGATCCGGATGCATATGTTTTGCAGATTCAAGTTCACATGGGGTTATGGACAGAAACAGATACACCGACAGACGGGACGACACGGCATCCATAACAGTGAACTTATGTAACTACCGGATCATATGCGCAATGAACCCCGCGTTTCCTCCTCTCGATCATCCTTTATCTCCAGTAACGAATCACTTACTACTACCAGAGGCCTAGAGCCCATGTGAGAACGAGAACTACTGATCAAGCCGACCTTGGAAGACCATCCAGAGCGATGATCCGGACCCCACAACTGGCGGCTTCTCTCTAACTAAAAATATCAAGAAACTTCTTGAAGCTAACTAACTAACGTCACTCCAAGAACGGGATAATGGCGTCAAAGGGCGTGTATACGATATGGGGTTCCTTGCTCAGAGAGGAGCGTGAGAGGATAACCAAACAGATGGACTGTCTTGGACTGCGGTTGCGGAAGGAAAAGTCTTAATGAAGAGCATCGAATGGCCCAAATACATGCGATTGAGGAACCGAGGAAGCTAGTTAACCAACTATTTAACGGTTTGATATCTAGCTTGAAAACGTCGTATTCGATGGGTCTCTTTAGTCGTTTGCAAGGTGAAGGTGCTCATTCCCTTTTATATATATATATATATATATATATATAAACTTAATGGCTATCCTACGTTCGATTTTTGATTGTCATAGCTGCCTTTATTGTAGTTATAGTTATAGGGCCGCTCCCGCTCCTTTATCTCTATGATCAATCGCTACTTTGTCAACTCTTAAATCTAGTTTAGGCACAATTGAGAATCTTGAAGATCTTCACCATACAAAACCTCCCCTCCGACCACAACCAGCACGCTATCTTGGCAAATCTACGTACCAGTTCCAGCAATTGAAAGCCCCAGATTGTGGTTCCGGACAAATAGTTAGTTACCCTAACTCCCTACAGGGTTCAAGTGCCTAGACGCCGGGGTTGTCGGCCAATAAAATGACAACCCGATAGCAACCAAGGTGGCAGTGAACAAGTGTCCGGGAATACCGCACCATCCCCAAGGGATTTTAAGTTGTTGGGCGGATGGAATTGACATATACAGAATCAAGGGTGAAAGAGTTTGAAAGAAACGGTGTAGCAACGCGCTGACTGCAAGGTTACCCACTTGAGACGATTTAGTACCGAGAAAGCAACATCCCTTGCTCCGGATTTTGTCAAGACAGAATAATATATATCAAAGGGGGGTGTTAGATTTTCCTTCTGATGGAACGGCAAATCCCTTGACGATTACCTCATACTTTCGACAGGAGGATACGGAGAATGGCGCTTGCTCTTTTGTTCAGGCGGGTGTTTTAGGCTAGGAAGACGTTTCGGGGGAAGAGGGGTGTATGCTGATAACGAGGAAGTGCTTTTAAGGCTTTTTTTTAATCCGGATAGATTTGTCCGGGCTGGTTTGGAAGATCTGACGAGACTGGCGTTGAGGCGGTATAATGATATCTACAATAGCGGAGCCATTGTGAAGTGACACACCAGTGCTCTACAATACTATCTTCCACGCTACCCTTGGGGGGGCCTTTTTTATATTTGGGATTGTGTGCTCTGTACGTAACTTACATCGATGGTCTGATTTGAGATTCAAAAGGACCAAGGAAAGATGGGAGGGATGTTGATTGGTTGCGGGAACCTTCCAAAAGTTATGATGCACATCACGTGGATAACTATTACATCATCCCCCACCCGCATAGACTCGGGATCATCTTGTAACAACCAGCGACGACGACATCCATGGTTGGAACGAAACCCATCAGGATGATGTACATATGATTGAGAATGTGAAGGAGGGCTGTATTGTACATCCACTATCCCTTATTATTTCCCATCTTCCTGATTTTGGTACTGTACTTCTCTGTTTCTCTGAGCCAGATTAGCAGCTGTCAATCGTACAACTGGCTTGAAATCTCAAATGATAAAAGATTATTCAATAAGGCATAGAGACAACTGCTCACCCTCCGAAGTGCTGCAACCATGGCCATTGACGAGCGCGATGACCCTCTTGTCAAGGCACTCCCTCCCGAAACAGATTATCTCACATATCTCACAATTCTAGAATACCAATTGACCCCCGAACACCTGCCAATCTTGCACAATCTGCTCCAGGATGAGAAGTTAACGACGAATATTGGCTGGGATTTAGTCCAGCTGCTTCTTCCAATGGTTCCTGCTTCGCAGGAATGTCTTCAAGATGTGGCCAGACTTGGGAATCCCAGAGAGGTTATTTTGCGGGTTTCCAATTCGTTGATGAAGCTAGAACCCGTGGATGAGGATGGTGATAATGAAGGAGATTATGAAAAGGGGCTCAGTGAAGCGGTTGGTGGAGTCAGGCTGGAGGAAAACGCAAACGCGAAAGACGATATAGTTATACATGATCAAACTACAGCTACTCCCAAAGTCCCCTTGCACATCTTGCAATTCAACTGCCTCGTTTCCATGCTCGCAGTTCTCCACTCCCGCATCCAGACGAAATATCCCAGTCGTTTTGTCGCTACCTCTCTCCAAGCTGTACTAGAAGCATACACTACTTTCCCGACTGTGGAGACGACTGCAGCAGTGTTGGAATTTTTCAGAGACACAGCAGGAAAAAAACGGCCACGTCTCCCACCCCGGAATATGAGTGAATCACTCGTTCCGCAAGTGACTAAGGAATCAGCGCCAGACCCAGAGGCTGAATCGCATCTGGGGACCGCAGCATCCGAGGAATGGGCCGTGATCCAAAGGCTTATGCAGTTTGGTCTTGTGGAGCTTCTGAAAACATATCTCTTGCACTGTATCGACGAGCCACCTGCTGGAATGCGGTGGGCGCTTCGATTACAGGAGAAATTAGATGCAAACAATCGGATTCCAGCGTCATTAAGTTTCACTGAGGATTTCGGAAAGCTCGAGAGTTTGAAAGAGCGGGATATGGCAGTTGGGAAAATTATTGTATGGTTTCTTAAATAAATATCCGATATCCTGGTTTTTGAGCATTGATTATTTCTAATTTCTTTTTTCAGGCATTATCACGAGACTTTGGCATTGAAACAAAAGAACTTCTTGAGATCATTTCCAAGCCCAACGATCAGCAACTACCGCCTCTAGATTTTGAAGAAACGCCTAAACGAGCTGAAGATATTCCACTTCAAAGACATGGCTGTCTTCTGCTGCTAGCAGCGCGGTGTGCAGCTGATAAACTACTCTCTTCGGGCCAGCCAGTGGAGCCCATTCCCGTCTTCCCTGATCTTGCTGTCATATTTTCCAATTTTCTTGGAGAGGGTGAATCTTCATATTCCACGGTTATCTCAGAGCCCGAAGCTCTCGTTGATTCACTCCTTTCCCTGGCTGTTATCGCCAGTTGTGAACCTGTTGCACCTCCCCATAACCAAACTGAACTTGGCCAATTCATGCTCCAGCTCACTGCTTGCATCCGTGCACCAAGTTTCCGGAGTTTCAGTCGTATGGCCCGGATCCCATCGCAGATATTTCACAGTAACCCTGACTCCCTCTCCCGATTCAACCTAGTCTGCAGAATTCTCGACGACGACAATTTAGAATACTCCCGAGAGACAGCGATGGGATGGGTGAAGGAGGAACTTATTGCAGCAACAGCACCAAGCCCACCGGATCAGAAAGAGAAGAGAGAATGCATATTTACTGATCCCAAGTCCTTTGCCAACCTATTCCCAAAAATCTACAAGCCCATTCCGGACGGGTGGCTTACGCTCAGAACAGCCAAAACCGAAGACCTTATCAACATCTGGATGACGTTTACTCAACATAGCCTCCCCTTCCATCTTTCCATCCTGAACCTGTTGTATTTCCTCACCCAATCGCAAGCACTACTCGAACATCTACAAATGAAAAAACTTTACCCGTACTTCCGGTCCAAGTTTTTGGAGCCGCTTCAGGCATTTATGCAGAGTATTTTGACAGACGCGGAGATCACGGCACGAGTCGAGATGGAAGTTGGCGATGAGGCGGTGCAGGTGGGGAAAGGTGCGGCGGACTTAGTCTTGCATATTATTGGGGAAATTGAGGAAGGGTTAGCAGGGGTATTAGGGGAATATGGAGGGTTAGAAAAGGGTTCTTGAGGTTATTTGGAGGTTTCCACTGGGGCTGACCTGAAGCGCCATTTTCCAAGTTTAGAGGGGTGATTTTGAACCCTGACGTATTTTTTCAAGGAATCTTTCAATGCATGCATGTCCTGGCTTTGGATCAATATGGTGCCAATTGGGCTAATTGGAGCCTTCTCTTCCATAGCTGTAGTTTCCAGATATATATTTTTGTTCTTGCTTTGTGTTATTTAACAGTCGGGCGAAGTCAATATTTGTTTGGCCTTGAGATGTCATTGGTGTCAACATCAATTTTTCTGCTTTGAAGGTCGGGAAATATTCGCACTTCTTTTCCAACTTCTGGGCTTAAGACAGCGCTGCTCGAAGTCAAGACACTGTCTCTTGGTGACTCAACATCCTTGGCATCTTCGTAACTATCCTGAGGAGGGCTGACCATCCCTGCACTGCAGCCAACCTTGGAACATAGCGCGACGACTGATGCGACAAAACACGAGCACTTTCGCTCGTTGTTTCATGGCGAAAATAACACGATTCTTCTGACGAAAATCTCCATTTGAAGACACTTACAAAACGAGGCTCTTTCCTGACCATCAACCTACACCCCAGCTCTCCTCAAGCTCCGAACACGCGGGGTTGATGCCAAAGTCAACAGAGCCAGCACCTGATTTTCATAGATATGAAATAACTATATGCGACAGAATTGCCGATTCCTGTCACGTTAAGCAAACAACCCATTATTCCCATTCTAACCTTGGAGCCAACAGCCTCCTAATCATGATATTTAAACCGTCCCGCAAAATCCCCACCAAAAAACGCAGCTCTCTCATTTTCTACCACGCTCCTCCCCGCTGATACCTCCATATTCCCCATAATTTCAAACTCTCACATATACGCCTGCACCTTAGAGAACCTCGATCCTTCGACGACAATCAACCATTCATTCCTGAAACACTCAACTGTAAAATCCAACAAGCGTAGCGTAACGGAAACCTACGGTTCCAATAATGAGGAAAGCGACTGCTCCGCTGACAGCGGCGGCTGCACCATTTCGCAAAGCCATCTCTCCAACAGCACTATCTCCAGCAGTCACATTTACTGCTGCAACGTGAAAAGTTGCACCCTCTCAAACGCAGGGTATCTCTCAGACACGCACCTGCGCAACTCAACTCTTTCTGGTACCGTGCGAGTCATCCAATGCAAAGTCAAGGCGTCGCAATTCATATACGCATTGGGTGATGACTACATCCCAGATTCTATCACAGAAACTGAAGGACCCGCAATCCAAAAAAGTGACATCCGCAACTCCATAATCGGCCCGTCACCATGTACAATTAGTCGAGCACGACTACGTAAAGTGAAGATCTCCTGCAGTACCGTTGCTGATGCTTGTTTGGATGATTGCGATGTTGCTGATTGTATGATATCAAAGGGGAGGTTTTCTGGGTTATGGTTGAGGAATGGGATTTGGGAAGGCGGGGAATTGGTTGGAAAGATGAAGGAGGGGGAGGATGTGGTGATCAAGGCGAGGGGATTTGCTGAGATTGAAGAGAAGGAGAGGGAGAGAGAGCAAGAGAGGTTTGGCAAACTTAAAGAACAGGGCGAAACGGGGCAAATGATAGGTGTGGGGATTGGGGATGCTGCTGTCCGTGGTGCGCAGGGAGAATTTTCTGTGGAGAGCAACAGCAGTAAAAATATTCCTTTTCGCGAGGATTCTACAGTAAGTGCAGGAGAGAAATCATCTCATGCGTTCCTTTCCATATCTTCTACTTCCCAAAAACTGTTATGTACAAGTTAGCTAACTGTTTACATCGAAATCCAGTCTACCAACCAACCACAAGAACCAATCCAGGTCAATTATGCCTTTCCAATCCCAGGACCAGCAGAATCCCTTGAACAGCTAAACCAAAGCCAACAACCACTTGCCGCTGCCTCAAAAGAACAACCATACATCAGCATATGTGAAGGTACCCCCTCCCCGCCCTCAACAGTCGGCTACTCGACTTCAACAGAAAGTCTTGTTGAGGTTGACGAAGACCATGAATTTCCCCTTCATAGTCCCGATGATGGAATGGTAGGCATTGGTGACGAGAAACTGCCACCCTATTCGCCATAAAGGAACTCTGTCCACAGGCTGATTTATTTTATAATTGGGTTTTGTGTTTTTTACATAGCGAGGAATTTATGGCGCTACTTGTTTCCAAGAACCAACCCCCCTCTTTTTCTTGCGGGTGTTTGTGGTCTACTCACCCTCAAATGGTCCACGATGTCCTACGAAATTATTCACGCAAGTGATAAATGAGGAAATAAGACAAGATTAAAAGCAGACTGGTCCCCCCACCAAATGTCATATAGATAAGCAAGGATAATCTCCTCTTTGCTAACTAATAAAGCGAGAAAAAAAAAAAAAGAAATACTGAAAATGAAAGAAAACGCCCACCAGTGGGAAAAATAGGATGTATATGCAGCTTGTGGTATTTTATGCACGGCACAGCACCTTACATAAAGCGGAGTTCCATATCCACACTGCACACTGGTCTATCCAGCTGTCCACACTGTGGTAGTATGTACAATTCGGCCGGTCCTCTTATGTGCGAAGAACTCAAAATAAACAAAATAAACTAGACATTGCGGAATCCATCGCACGAGAGGTGAAGGTGGAGGAGACAAACGAATGTCGTAATATGGTATACTGGGTAAAGGAACGACTCCACAAGCTGGAAATGGGAACACCAAGAGAAAGTCAAGGAATAGAAACTTCACACACAAAAAAAAAAAAAAAAAAAAAAGTAGAGAGATTATCTGTGGGCGATCTGTTTATATGCATGGGCTGTTGGATTGGACAGGAAGGAAAGAAAGACATTCCATTTTCAAACCAAATATCCAACGACACACGCATATATACATACACCCAAGATGGTTACCCTGTTTCTTATGCACTCCTAGTTTGTTTCTTCGAATACCTTATGTTGGGTCTCAAAGCGCTTTGAAGTCGAAGTGCATGTTGGGGGCTTGTGTGAACTGAGGCCGATACACTGACAGGAATTCGGAGCGGAAGAACAAGACAAGGATGACATGGTGATATGTATCCAATATAAGTAACAATAAACACTCCCAGAATACGTAGGAAAGTCAACAGTAAATTGGTTTGTTTGATTACATTGCGCAAGGTGGGAGAGACGATCAGGGTTTTAAAACATAGCGAATGAACCTAAGATAAAAAAGATTGTTGTGAAGCCTTGGGGAAATGTTCCACAGAGTCTTCGTGCCAAGGTCGGATACATTTGGTATGGGAGAAGCAACAGAATGAGCGTGGATGCGCGGAATCCTGTAGAGCACAGAGAAGAGCAATGTGTCCGTGCGTATCGTGTGTCCGGTGGATACGTAGGAAGGTCAAGTTCTTCCCAAATGGTCTGAGGGAAACTTTTCGGAGTAGACGTTCGCCATTGATGCTGTGGTGTTCCTTTCCTGGTTATCGATGTGATATTTTTCCCGAAGTGAGCAGTCTGCCTTGTTGTATGTGATGTAGGGATTAAGGTCGCGGCGCTTTTCATCTGAACGGAGGAGGGAAGAGAAGGATTCTATTTGCAAGGAAGACAACAAATGGTGTTTGTTGATGATGTGTTTCCATATTTCTGTTCCTCCGGCCTATCAATGCCCCAGCCTGGTCAAGTCCAGGAAAGCGGATAAAACATGTAAAAGAAGCGGATCAGGAGAAATGGCGAATTTCATATATCCATGGTGTGCAGAAAGAGTTTGCGGCGTTCCATGTGAAAACGTATCCTAGGTCGAAGCAGTCTGCAAAACATTCCCATTTGGCATATGCCTTGCGTGGTGATATAGAAAGTCTACATCACGATACACTGGCCTCCGCTGTTGCGGTAGAAAATTGGACCTATAACAAGGTTAGCCTGGTTCACAGGAGGATATTGATGTGTTCAAGAGAAAGGAAGTTAGGCATAGCAGCGGTCTTACCGGTGTTTGGGGGGGTGGGCGCCGAAACGTTGACAGTGTCTGGAGACATTGTGTTCGAAGGTTGCTTGGTATAATCTGAGAAATTAAGTCTCTTGCAAAGTTTGACAATTGGAAGAATTGTTCGGATTTTCCGTTTAGAATATCTCGTAAAATGACCTATTAGAGTAAAACAAAAGAAAAGAAGATTGAGAAAATGAGGGGAAATGGTTCATTCTTATATGCTTCATACTCCGCATATTGCAGCTATTGGCGCCGGTGAAGGCAGGGGCCTCTTCAACAACGGCGAGGCGATACCCAGTAACTTTCGGTTATCATTCAAAGGATGGTAAAAACTCAAAAAACTGTATGAACTCCCAAGGGGCACTGATATTGTTGGTAACCTCCAGTCACTCACACGTAGTTTCGTTATCGTATTATGCATTGTGGTATAATATCTAACACAACAACACGGCCTCCAGAGCCCAATTGTTCCCAAAGGAAACATTATCGGATGATTTTATCTAACTCGAGTCATGGAGAAACCTGGAGAGGGAATGATGGAGAACTCATTGGGGAAAATTAGGCGGGGTGTTCCTCAGTGGCCTGGTAAGCATTGTTCCGCTTAATATTGTTCTTTATCAAAACGGAAAAAGAGTGTGGAGACTGAAACAACCAGCAATGAACTGAAGGACGAATAGAAGTGAATAATGTCATCATCGAGGATTTAAAGTAGGTTTAGCTAAGGCATAGAGGACGTGGTAAGTTGAACATTGTATACGCAACCGTTTGCGGAGGATCACCAAACGGTCTCTTGGTGGGAAATCGCCGGAGGTTGTAATAACGACAACCCGAAACCAGATCAGAGACCAAAGAACGACTGGGGAAAAGCGTCTCCTCCCCAAAAACACACCAATGAAAAAGCCTCAGAGTAAGCTCTTTGACCAGAAAGAAAATAAGAGAATGAAACAAGTTGCTGAGCATATACTTTATGCGACTAAACCTGACGAAATAAAATATGGTTTGGCTGCAAGTCAATTCATTTCAACGTTAAGCTGTGGGCCCACGTTATGTCAAATGCTCCTGTATCCAAAGTCAAAGACATCCAATAATGCAGGCTCGATGCCCATGCCCTCGCTGATAACTTTCTCTTTGAAGCCAGCTGGCCTCCTCAAGCACGCTCTGAGTAGACCCTGATCTGAAATACGTCAACCGAATCTAAAAATTTAAGTTAAGCGTAAGCAACCCCAAAGATCGCGTGTAATGTTTGCTCCTACCTACGGATCAATATTGGTCTCGGTAACCGGGAACGGACTGAACTTGCATCAGATCGAAGGTCCCGTCAGGTCGTGGGCGTGAGATAAATGAGAATACCCTGGGAATGAAACGCGTGTAACAGCGACGAAAAGGTAAAAACAAAGAATGAAAGAAAGAAAAAAAGAATGAAAGAATGAAGAAAGAAAGAAAGAAAGAAAGAAAGAAACAGATGAATCCATCCTATCTGGCTTCATCGTGCCATCACACCAGAAAACTGCCGGGACAGGACTCCCTGCAAGAAAGCTATGTGTGTCCATATCATTTAGAATTAACACACGATATACTGGCCCTTGCTTATGACCTTAGGCTCAACCTTTGGCTGCTAGAATTGCATCCACGTACGCCCGCAGCTGCCCTTTGCAGGAAAATATGCACAATTGTCTGGTGTCATATATCACAGCTCCACGTCCGGCTGGACGCAGAAGAACCCCGGACATTGATCATGATAGTTACCCGATGCTTTTGCTTGGCGACATCTCAACAGAACCATGCCCAAAAGCAAGCAATGGCCCTGACCTCGCCACAAACCTCATCTCCAGGCTTCTGAGTTTGATAGCGAAATGACTTGCAGTAACGGGAAGCCAGGCGGGTTGCAATTGAAACCAATCCAGCGGCGGTCATCGCTCGATATCTTATCCACGGCGCTAAATCAACCTCAAATATTTCCACAAGACTCCACCGGTCCAAGATAACACTGCGGCGGGACCATGTCGATTCAATCTCCCGTGCCCATCAGACCGGGTATGGGATATTCCATAGGGACCCTGTTGTAATGTCCTGAGGTGATAGGGAGTTGTTAATGAAGCATGTCGTTGGAATTAACTTCGCTGGTTGACTCCACCTAACCCAAAGACGTCTTACTCTAAGCACGCTATACCACATGCAAATCAAGTCTCAATCAATAAACCAATCAGAAGTAAGACCTATCCTTGAAAAAAAGAAAAGGCCTCAATCTAAAAGAAGTGATGTGGAAATAAAACGTTCAGCTTACGATTGTTCTTTCGCTGAACAATATCAAACCCTAACCATATTCACCGAGCTTTCACCCCGGACTTCACAATCACTTCACCACGGTGAATAGAGACCTTCCTTCAACTTGGTAAACTGACCAGTCGACGACGAAAGGGAAAATCGGAAACGTCAAAATTTGCGGGGGAGGATGGGGTAGTTATGAGTGTTAGGGAGAAGACGTCATTAGCGAATGTCTACGAAAGCCATAGCTTCCGAATAGATGCCCCCACTACTGGCCTTATTGGAAAGAAGAGATAAGATAAATGTCGTGAATTCACTTTGCATCTCATGTCGTCATTCGTTAGAAGAAGCGGGGGATGTAACCAAAGTAAATCCTAGAGATAAAGGCCAAGATCGGTGCTCATCACCGCAGCGGCCACATGGCTGCCCTGATATATCGAATGATCAAGGAAACCGTTCTGCAACAGGTTACTTAGCCAAGTACCCAAGGTCACCAGTAGTGATCACACATCCACAAACATATCGTATACAAAGAAAAACCCATAAATACAGCATCATATCAAGAAGAAATGTATTAACAAAGCAAACATGTAAAATCACGAAAAATAAGAAGAAGACGGGGAACCGCTTTAGGTATATAGCGTCGCCGTAAGGCTGTTAAATCCAATCCCCTCCTTCGCAATATCTTCCTCGATCAAAAACATCAACGGCATCTCCACAAGGCTACCCTTCACCTTACTCAACTCTTCTTTGACCTGCTGCACACCTTCCGGGAAATCGTCGCGAATGACATGTCCGACCAAATACTGTGGAGTCTCCGCAATCCCTTCCTCTCCTTTCTTCTTTTTTGTCTTGTCATCGACGGGACTGCGGAAATAATATTCGTAGAACTCCTTGTAATCGTTCCAGTTGCGGACCGTGTCATCTGGGACGGCATGGAAGACCTTGCGGAAGACCTCAGTATTCTGCTTCGCGCGGGAATTCCACAAGCTCTGGAACGTATCTGACAGAGGGTCGGAGACGACTTGGTCCTCGGGTGAGTTCATGTCGTAGAGGTTGGGTACGCCGACTGGTTCATAGTTGGGAGTCGGTCGTTGATAATCTTGGACGGGAATCAAGCCCAGGTGCTTCCGGCATAATTGGCGACGAAGGGTGGTCGCAAATTTGCTCACAAGGAATGGTTTTCCATTCATATGGGATTCGATAGGGGTGGGATCCTGGATGATAACAGCAATTTCGGAATCGTTATCTCCCAACTGGGAGCGATCATTGAGATTGGCACTTCCGCAGATAACTGTCCGATCATCGGCAATCAAAACCTACATCCGAGCATTAGAGTCAACATCAGGAAAACGAAAAGTAATGCTCGGGCTAATGACAGGGACACAAACCTTTGAATGCACGTAGAGTTCCTCGCTGACAAAAGCGTCGATTTCAGAAACATCACCATGATGCTCCCAGGGTACCTTGCGAATATCCTCGCCACCAAGCATATAGCACTCACTTACGCTATTCCAACGCCCTGATCCATGCGACTGCGGCTGTGAGACTTGCTGGGCAGCTTGCTGATAGGGTTGATAGGCAGCAGTGGTATCGAACGCGCTGGTTTGGTTCGCAGTAACCTTATTGTCATACTGGTTCTGGGCAGCCTGGTAGTAAACACCACTTTTCTGCTCCACTTTTCTCATCTCCGCACTTGTATTGATCCTGTCATAGTTGCGCAGGTTGTAGAAACGGATATACTCCATCGGATTGTACCCTTCTCTGGCAATTAACTCCATAATACTGTGGCCACCACGGTTAATAGAAGTATACTGAAACTCCATAATCGCGCGAATACCAAGCGCGGGGTCGCTACGGAGCTCGCCCGCAAAACAGGGAATTGATGGGATTACGACAATCATTTTGTATTTCTGTCCCGCCCTTGCAGCACGAAGGATACGCTCGACAATTGCTGCTCCAATCTTGTTTTTGATGGGCTTCTGGGAATCACCTGTAGCTGTGATGAAAAATTGATTCTCGATGTAAATGAAATGTTCGCTGTCACGGATAATAGCAACATACGCATCCGCAATAGAGTGCTCCACCGGGATTCCATGGCTCCATTTGGCGGAACTACGCACAATTTGGCACGACATATTTCCTGGCCGATGCCCTTGCTTACCTGGTGCATGTGAAAAGTAGCGATCCTGATATTGATGCACCTGCCCCGCAAGCTGGCCGCGAAGGACATTACCGAAATTTCCTAGATCATGTTTCAAACCACGAAGCTCGGCTGTAAGGCCACGCTCCTGCTCTTGCTGTTGGTGCAAGCCTGGCTGAAAGCTTTGCTGGTACCCAGGATCGTTGTAGGATTCAGGCCCACGAGATTGCGAATGCTGACCAGCTTGAGACGGTGGCGGAGGGTAGTATGGCGCCGCAGGCTGGGGTTGTTGAGGCGCAGCACTCCATTGTGGCTGGTCCTGTGAGTAGACACTGCCATGTGGAGGTTGGGGGGACGGATGGTGATATTGCTGGCTATGAGTTGCAGGAGGGGGTTGATGACCCTGTGGCTGTTGTTGGTGTTGCCCCTGCGATTCTGTAATTTCCCCATAGAGCACCAGCTTTGAGTATCTCTTATCCTGGCGAACGCGGTATTTCTCGTCATAGATAAAGTTCCATCGCTCAACGAAATGCTTTCGCAGATCCTCAACGACCGGGCCGTGTAAACTGACAGAAATATCAGACCAGCCCATTCGGGAGTTGCTTTTGCGGTCAAGTTTGTTATTCTCCCAATTAACCACATCATTGAAGTCCAGAACACGGGCATTGTTATAATCCTGCCCAGGGAATACAGTCTCCCTGATGTCATTTGGATGGACATCAGAGAGGGCATGTTGATGGGTATCCCAACGCCCATAACATAGATCAAGACCGCCCATGAACGCAATTTTTCCGTCAACAAGGCAAAGTTTCTCGTGATGAGCCCAGTAAAGGACAACGTCACCACTCATCCCGTATAACCCTTTCAAGGCATCTCCAGAAAGTTTAGAAACCCCAGCTGCATCGAGAGTCAAATTCTTAAAAGAATCCAAAACAGAAGAATGGATAGTTTGCCTATCGGGAAGATGATCTGGATGGCGGAACACAGCGATATTTGGGTGAAGATTTTGCAGGGAATGTTTGGTGTGGGAAGAAGACACTGTGACAAGCAATCAATCATCTGTCGCCTTTAAATTCGACAGACATCCATAGCTATGGAGTTGGGGTACCGAGTTAGATACTTACTGGTCAACGCCTGGGTCACCTCCTTATACACAATCACATTGACGCGAACTCCCCGCTGAGCAGCAGCCTGAAGCATTCGATCGACGCGGTACTGCTCATTCTTCGCAGGAGGGCGTCTCAGATATAGTTCTGGGGACAACCACCCTGTACAGATAACAAATATCATTAATAAAAGATGTAGAGTTAATGTGTCATCACAAAAATCACCTACAATCCAAGATCCAAATAGACTCCCTAGCAGTCTCCAATGCCATGGAGACTGCCCACATATAATCACAGCCATCAACATACCACTTGGCATCGCAATGGTCCCTCGGAGGAGCAAAGCTACCAAATCGGTTATGCGCATTTGCAGGTGGTGGGCCATACTGGGCGTACGCCTGGGGGTCCAGACTAGAGCCAATCTTCTGAGCTACACCCGAGCCAATGTCCTGGATCTTGCCGAGCAAACCAGTTACCAAATCAGGTTTGGATGGTTTTGCTCCGTAGTAGGGAGGATTCTGCGGCTGTTGGCCAGGTGTCGCGTAAGGTTGCTGAGACTGCTGGAAAGCCTGTCCATAGCCATGGGAGCCGGATGGTCCCTGGAACTTTGTCAGCAGAACGTAAGCATCAACATCAACATCGTGAAAATGAAATCAACAACTTCGTATATCGCACTAATTCCACAGTACAGCTTCCGGAATACCCACCTGAGGCCCACTTTGTGTATCGAAATGCGATTGTTGATATGGCTGCTGGGAACCAGACCCACCGGAGTAAGTCTTATATTTATCACGGAACTTGCCCAGAGTATCGCTTAAGATACTCCTATCCCTTCCTCCGTCACCAGAACCTCTCTGGGACTCCTCCTGCCCCCCATAATGACCGTAGGCCAGAGGGTCTTCTTTTCCGGACATACCTAAGGGCAAGCTGCGGCTGACTTTAAATTGGTGCGGGGCAGCAGATCGAGAAAGAATGCACTCAAACTTGTTGAAGTTGATACTGTGTAGGTTCGACGGTACCAACAATAGAGATGAATGAACAGCCTATCGCATTGCTCAACTAAGTGTGCAAACAGGATATTCACAGTGATAAAGGAAGCAAGCAAACTGGGAGGAGTGCTGTTGTTAATATATATGGCTCCATGGTTCTCCATCTCGTACGATGCGAAGTTGGGGGGGTTGGTGGTGGCTTGCTCAGCCACTGCACGTGTGGCGTCAACTTCCACCCGCTCCGCGAGAAATTAATTAGTTAACTCCGTTAACTACTGACAGCAAGAGCCATATTCTACTCTCTGCGGGCTCATCTTCTTCAAATTTGATTACGCTGTCAAGATACGTTGATGATTCATGAAACGTAAAACTACACCAACTCGAAACACCTGCGAGGGAAACAAGCAATCCGGCAGCGTGCGGCACCCGCCTAATTGCGGATATTCAGCTTGACTGGGATTCGCATCGAATAACTAGTTTAAACATCAGTTTGGATTATCCTGATGCTAGGCATATACGTTCACCACCAGCAACACCACTGAAAGGTTCAGCCGTTTGGAAAGGATTCCACATATATTTCGTAGAGTGGTTGTCACTCATCCAGGTTGATACACGCAAATAAATCCTTTCATTAGGTCCAGGGCTATCCCAACCAATCGTGCATGGGGATTTTAATAGTTACGCAGTAAAGGGCGAGGGTGAGTGAGTGTGGTCCATGCGAAACCGAGAATATTAAGTTATCGAATGCTGTCAACACTGACCGAAGTAAAAACGGCTAGCCCCGAATTTGTATTGCAAAGCGTTTTCGGATACCAATTTAAGAAGGACATTTTTGATAAAAATATGGGTCTAAAAATGACTTCCGTATGCGCATATTTCAGAGCTCGACTGGAGAAGATATGAAGTTAATTATTATCACCATTTTAGGATTGGTCACCCATTGCTACAACCTAGAACAAACAAATTCTCCTTCATCCATTGTATCTTATGAGCGATATAGGTATATATATCATAATGTTTTCCGAAGGCTACCATGCTCGCTGAGATGTGTATAGCACGGTCAGCGTACACCCGCTGGAAGGCTCTATTCGCTCTGCCATACTACGCCCAGTCGGTATGACAGCAAGCGGTCGGGGATGCAATCCGAAGGCGGTTGACTCTCATTCCAACATTGCTTGCTGCACCGAATCGTTTGAATCACGGCGGGGGAGTACTAAACTCTACCCACCATACCCCTGTTTGGATGCTGCAGTGAGCTTGATTCTTGCGCATAATTGCTTGGCAAACTGATGTCCAAACCCCGCACCCAATCCTCTCCAAACCCCCTTTTCACCGGGAAGATACTCCCCAATTCAATTGCAAGCATCCCGACACCACAAATAGTCGCTCCGAGACACCAACTGCACAATGTATAAATTTCTTGGAAAATTCCCTTCTCTCAGACTGCACTTAACAAGAAACCAGCAAAAGCTCCGAAAATCCTGAAACTCCCAATCAATGTATCACCCTAACCGCAAAAAGGGCTCCAACAGCGGCAGTAATAACCAATTCCCCTTTCCCTTTCTCTCTCTACCACCCGAGATCCGCAATCAAATCTACTACACTCTTTTCAACTGCGACCTGGCTATTCACCTCTTCCACTTAAAAGACAAACTCTACCTCGTCCGCTGCAGCCAATCCACCCCGCATGTCGACCATGCCTGCTGCCGGCACTCCACTCTAGTTGACCGCAGGCTGCAAGAACTAAGCTATACATATGCTCAGGCATTACAGAACGGCAACACGAACAAGCCCATTGCAGGCACGCCTCAGTTTTTCCTCACTCGTCTGCCCACCGCCATCCTATACACCAACAAGCAGCTCTACAACGAGGCATCCGCAATGCTGTACGGCGAAATGTCCTTCGAAGCCGCAGAGCTAACAACCTGGCTCCTATTCGCGCACATGGTATCAGCACGACATCTAGCACTCGTCAAACGGCTGCGGAGTACCTGGGTGGGTCTTCCGTCCCTGACAATGGCGCCTGTGCGTCCTGGTGGAGTTGGTTATGCAGAGTATGAGCAGTATACGTTATGGGATGAGCCGTATGAGGAGTTTTGGGAGCTTGTTAAGGGGAAGATGGAGGGTTTGGTGGAATTGGGTTTTTGTATGAACTATGAAGGCCAGTATTTGGATCGGTCAACGGGGGCGAAATGGTTGAAGCCATTGTTGGAGGTTAGGAGATTGAATAAGTTGGAGGTGTGGGTTAGGGATCGGATTGGGGGAGAAGATGGGAAGGGCGGGGAGGATGTGGTTGCGGCGAAGAGGGAGGGAGATGTTTTGATGCAGTATTTAAGGGGCGTAATGTGTCAGGGGAGGGAGGAAGGGTGGCAGTGACAAAGGTTGAGGGTGTGGAATTGCGATTCTCAATGAATTCTTGTCGATGCTGTGCTGATGAGATATGACCAGATAGTGTAACTGGTCGTATGATTAGGGTTGACACAGGGACGGGCCAAAAGCAGCCGGATGAATTTTTTTTTTTTTTTTTTTTTTTTTTTTTTAACCTATCGTTTTATCAGTCCTGACAACCCCGCGTACCTAGTGTTCGTGTCATCCTCCGCAAGGCTATCTTGCCTATCTGGCGCTAGGTGAAAGATACTCACAAGAGCTATCTACATTATCCCCATCCTACGCAGCTTTGCAGTGCCGCGCCATAAGTTTGCATCTGTCCACAGATAGTGTTACGCACCATACCAACCAACTTCAGGTCCATTGCACATACATCCTCTACCGCCCCTTACGGGGCATGCAAACTTACGGCGAGGCACTGTATTAAATGGCTGGATTGTGCCAATCTACGGAATTGAGATTGTGGTCTCCGTCTCGCCGCTGCTACTGATATCAAAGCAGTTTTCCGAATCTCAACATTTGCATCTACCTCATATTCATTATTGAGGTAAAGTCAGAATCTCACAGATAATAATTTCTTCCGCATAGTGAAGGTTCGCGTAGGCGTCATGGGCATCGCTGAAGCTTATACCAGGATCTAGTTTGCAAAAACCAGATTCCAGCAGGACAATCACCTCAGGCTGCTGCGATTGAAAGTACTCCAAATGAAATGTGTTCGGCCCGTTCGGTCTGAGCTTATGTCGATTTTTGGAAACCTCTCTGACGGCCAATGAAATTACACTTGCTGCTTGCAGATCTTTCTGGTTACGTTCAAAGATGATGAATAGCCATCGCCAGCCCCAAGTAAGAAATCACTCCGGAGGTTACATCCTAGTTACCCATTTCTTGATTGAAGAATATTGATATTCTCATAGTTCGCTGAGCACTCATCCAAACACGGGGTCGTCAAATGCCTCTCAATATCTCTCTCTTCTTAGTTAGATTGTAGATTGAGTAAATAGGGTGGAGATAACACATACTGCAGAGGAATCCAAGCTAATGAATCTTGACTGCTTCGACAATCCAATCCAGCGCCCGTGGCTGGAGAAGTGGATAAGAGAAGAGCCGGTCACAAAAATGCATGTTTGCAATGTCAAAGTGACTTGTTTAACTAATTAGTGCTGCTCAGGCACGTCCATTGAAGGGCTAATTAGTCCATCCATGCATCCGGGAATCAGCAAACAGAAGAATGAACAGGCCGTGGTCCGCTGCCGATGACTATTCCATAACTATTCAATCCAGCTTTATTTCTATCGAATCCCGAGCCCACTCTTGCAGGCTGGAGGAGCAGTTCCTCTGAAAAGAAAATGCATGTACAGGTCTAGATATGCAGCTGAAGTCGATTGGATACCCTCCGGAAACATAGAGCGCGGTAATATCGACTGCTGTGAGTGAAAGAGGCGGTATTCAGCCGATTTCGTCGAAAAGGTCGTGTTTTCTTCCCAAGATTCTCACCCATGGAGGCGATACTTCTCTAGAATATCCCCGCGAGACAGGTAAAGAACGTGTTATCACATCGATTTCGAACATTTATATTTTCAGATTTGGTGGGCATTGACCCGTTAACAAAGAACACACCTGTCCACCATAGGGTTGTGTTATTATTATTGGATTAGACCTGTTATCCTCATATCTCAGTTCTGCCAAACATACGGTGGCCGCTGCAAGCCTCTCCCGATTCCCGAATCCGGATTTTGGAGTTCCGCCATGCCCAACTTGCCGGATCCGATGTTGTCTTCGTTAAATGGCCGATTGGTGAACGGTTTCGAGGAATAACTATATAATCCCCATAACCAAATCAGATTATACACCAGGTGGCAAGTGGAACTTCCATCTTCTCCACAGAATCGTCGAGTTTAGATATCCACCATCATATATTTTTCAAACAAGAGGAGTGTCTTTTTCAATAAGAAGATGGTGTAATTGCCAGTGGGTGAAACAAGTTATGAGATCTGGTTTTCCTGCTCGATTGATATTACCAAAGTCGGGCATATTATTAACGATTCGGGCAGCCATTGTATATATATATAGAGATGCATCACTTGACATGCTCTGAACCAAACTCTGTGAGCTGAGGGGGATATATCTCCGTTGCTATTTGCAGAAGTTTCCGAAGGCTCTAACTTCTCATCGAATAGTCAACAAAAATATAGAGCTACAAGCAAACACCCTGACCCTATATCTGTACAGAACCTTACCTATAGGTCTACGCTTACAGACCATTGCCGTTTTCTCCCACTCATCCAAGTGCAGAAACGACCGGAAATTTAATGTCAACGGTTGTCCTCGATGGGGGATTCCAAGCTGAAAGTCGATGTCTTCGCTAGACGAAGTGAGAAATCATCATAGCCCTAACCCCCTTTCCAATTGAAAAAAAAAAAACCCTTCATCCACTTAAAACTTTCTTTCATGGAAGGATATACATATTCAAGTGCCTGGGATCAGCGACAACGCAAGCACAGTGTAACTGCTAGATATCACAATTTGAACGGCTCATTCAAACTACGGCTCTTTGACGTCAACTCGAGAGAATTTCTTCAAGGAGTAACTGAAACGCTCAAAACAATGAGTTAATTGTGTTCCGCCCGTGCAAAGAGTTGTGGAGGAGGGAGTCTTCCTGATAACGGCATCTACGGGATCCTCCAGAATCCGTCCAGTCCCAACTGGCAAGCTAGTTAACTCAAACAGGTCCAGCTACTCCGTTAGTGTGCTGCGGCTGGGATCCCCCGACGCGTTGGGTGACAAAAGACCTGCATCTCTCCGCTGTGGATTAACCCCCTGCATGCACTGTCAAATGAGCGAGTATAAAAGACTTGGCGAAATCCTTGATTTCTCTACGGCGAGATATAAAAGTGTCCTTTGATCTCTGCTTATTTGTTAGACATACAAAGGCTCCGTGCCATGTATTTTGAAGAATATTTATATATCCATCCCGAAACTATTTGGATTCCATCCAACCTTTTCCGATCAACCAACTTTAAACGTGCTTGCCACACGTAATAACCCTCTATCCAATCCCGATCCAGAAATGGCCCAAAATTCCTTTCAGCCCCTTTCCCAGCCGCAAAAAGTGCGAGCCCTTTCCCAGTTTGCAGTTTCCATCAAATCCTCTGTCAAAGCTGCAATCCGCGATAATTTTACCATCAGCACATGGCTATTGTTCGGCGGAATACTCCAGGGTATCGCCATAGTGCTGTGTGGATATGTTTCTCTCATACCAGGCGCAATAATCCTTGCCTACCGCACGTGTGACCATGTTCTCATGGCTATGGGCTTGAAGAAGAACCGCTATATCTCAGGGGTATACCTGACAAAGTTCGGCGCCCAAATGCCGCGTGATGATGGATCCTTCGATGCGACACCTGCGGATGGGTCCGTTGTCGTATTCATCATAGGAGCCAAATCCCACCACCCATTCGGAATTTTCGATGGCGTATACAAGAAAGTAGTCGACTATTTTAAATCTATGGCAGCAGTGCTGGAATCTTCTGAAGAAAATGGCCTTCTAGGCATGTCACTCTGGATAGGCGGAATGGAACACACTGCCAATGAGACCATGAGCGTCATGTACTTCCGGGATCTTGAATCGCTGCACAGATTTTCACACGGACCTGAGCACATGAGTGCAGTAAGGTGGTGGTCGAAGGTGGTTGCGGACAATCCCCAAGTCGGCATCTATCACGAGACATATATCGTCCCTAAAGGGAATTGGGAGAATATCTATGTCAACTGCAAGCCGACGGGAATGAGTGCGACTTCTTTTCCGGTCCGTCCAAAAGAAGCGAACGGAGAAACTCGATGGATCAGTCCGGTTATCGACTCGAGGAAGGGACAGCTCCGAGTTGCTTCAGGGAGGCTAAAGAATCATGTGCAAGGTTATGATACTGAGGAGACTGACACCATCTGGGACGAAACCTACGCAGACAGTTATGGGATACGTACTACTTGAGGCATTGATGTCTTGTGCTCTTAGACTGGGTTTAAGAAGTTGGACGCGAACTAGCTGTTTTGCTTGTTTCCTAAGGATTTTCAGGATGTTACCCGCTCTTGAAACGGTATGTTTGCCCACTCCAAAGACAGAAAAAGAATACAGTACGTCAAACCACGATGGTGTTATGTATTCGTCGGACGCAGACGCTCAACACGCTTCGTTGGGAGGTTGATTTTGCAGAAGACCCATCTCCCGAGTCTTTAATCAAAAATGAACCAAATTAAAAAAAAAGGGGCCATTTTAAAAGCAGTAAATGACATCATATGTTTTTCGCACCAAGTGAGCAAAAACGCTTTAGCTAACTATTATACTACATGGGTGAGATGAGATGAGATGAGAGATAATTTATTTATGTTTATAAATGCAATTTCATTGTATTTCTTGTGAGAAGAGTCTTGAGATGCGAATCAAAATATTGGCCCTGTTTCTTGTTCCCCCTCACTAAATTACTTACTTACCCCTCACCTTCTTCTGATGTACCCCGCGGGCACCATTAAATATGTTGGAGAAATACATGTTGTTATTAGTTTAACCGTTCAACCAATTGTTACAGAATTCTTAGTAATAGAATCATATATGCCCCGCAGACCCCGGTTTTTGGAGAAGCAAGGAGAAGTGCTTATTGAAAGGAAAATCGTCACTATTCGTGCCTCTTTTTGACAATCCACAACAACCTCACAACACCATTCCCATAAAGTCCCTAACGTAGCCCACGAGACACGATGTCAAACATCAACCTCGCAACACTTGACGTAAGGCATCGTCACAAATAGACCATCTCTCTTCCGTAGAACAAAGTGGCAAATAAATTGACATATTTAACTTGACTTCTAGATCTCCGAGCATCCTAATCTCCCTTCATCTTCCGCGGTCCTCTTCGAAGCCAAAGCCAAAAAGAAGCTCTCCTTCGAAGCCATCGCCTCCGCCATTGGCCGGAATGAAGTAGCCACCGCAGCCATCTTCTACGGACAAGCAAAGGCTTCCGCGGAGGACATTGTCAAGCTGTCTGAGGTTCTTGGCATCGACCGTTTCTATCTAGAGTCACTTCTGAGCGGGTTCCCGGACCGGGGCAAATCCGTGACATTCCCGCCCAAGGACCCGCTAATCTATCGCCTGTTTGAGATTGTGCAGAATTACGGGTATGCCTACAAGGCGGTGATGAATGAGAAGTTTGGAGATGGAATTATGAGTGCTATTTCATTCTCGACGACGGTGGAGAAGGAGACAGATCTTGATGGGAATAATTGGGCGGTTGTTACATGGAGAGGGAAGTGGTATGTGAATTGTATTCTTTACTTCATGGGACTTTGCTGTCATTTTCATTTTCATTTCATTTTATTTTATTGTTCCTTTCTTCACCAATCCTCATGAATCAGAAGAGTCAGAAAGGGTTTGATGAATATTTTGAACTGACAATGCTGAACTAGGCTTCCTTATTCGCGGTTCTGAACCAAAAAAAAAAAAAAAAAAAAAAGCTGTGCTTAGAAATGAACATCAGCAGAAGCATCAGTGAGATTACAATGTGCTGACTGCTCTGTGTGCTGACTGCTATTGCTGAGATTCATGTTTTTGCACATCACTGAGATATAGTTGTCAGAGTCTCTGTTGTTTACATCGTTACTATGTAGCTACTGGAAGATAACAACTAATCACAAACAATACTGCTATAATTTCTTCATTTCAGCTAGCAAGCATCAAAAGCAGTGGAACCCAACATCTAGATCTTTCCAACTCCTATTGTATTATCTTCTCTCTTCATCTCCGGGGATTATACTTCTGAGATCTCAAACTCTCCACCTCTCCTCGTTTCCCCCGCGTGATCTATCTCAAGGTGGCTCCTCCTGCTGAGCCTCTACTCTCTTCATATTAAATTTTCTTTTCCCCAATACTTCTCTGTGTAGTACTATCTTACCTCTTTATCGTACCTTGCTTCCAAGCTGAACACACACACACACACACACACACACACACACACCATTATCAACAAGTAAGCCATCGACGACTCCCGGCGCTATGGCGTCCGAAACAAGGGAACCCAAGTTCAAATGCCCCTTCAACATGTGCAACCGTTCCTTCGACACTCAGAAGCAGGTTCGGAAGCATAAAATGGAGTCTTCTGACCATGAATACTGTGCTCGTTGTAACCTGGACTTCGAAGATGAGAAAGAAACTGCTAGCACATAAACTTGAGAGCAACAGACACATTGTGTGTCCTGTTTGTGGAGAGGAGTTTAAAAGCGATGGAGGTAAAAACACCCATTTTGCTCAGGTAGGGAATGTTCTATTTTTGTTGTCAAAACAACCTCGCGCTCATTTCTTCCCCTTTCATTACTACGTGTCACTCCCTTGCACAATTTGCGAAGAGGAAAACAGCTCCTGACACGTATATCTCTACAGTTTCACCCAGCCAATCAGGAGATGGTCTGCACTTTTTGCTCTGGCAAATTCAACCGTGCTCAAGCATACATGGGTCACATAGAAAATGACCAGTGTACGGGTTTCTCTGCGATACGATACAAAGAGCAACGTGCCAAAAAGGAGGCCATCAGAACCATAATGTCTCGGATCCTGGAGCCCGCGGAACGGGGTCTCATGATTCAGGCTACATCCAACGCGTCTAGCGTGGACGGCGGGGTTCAGGTTTCTCTTTCGGATTCGCAAGAGATGACGACTTCCACTGAGATTTCAAGCAGAAAATCAATTGATACACCGGGTAGTGAATGCGGAACTGAGGCTGTCACGATGCAACTTCGCGGTATGAGCCTCTGGCCTGCACCCGGGGAGAAGCACGATGTGGAAATGGACCCCGAGGAGCGGAGCCTGATGACCTTTTCTGACATGGAGCATAACCGCGATAAGGAACGACCTGGGAGGAAGTATCATCACGAGAACAACACCGGCAATTTGCCTATAGCCCCAGAGCCTGAGACTTCCATTCTGGGCAGCATCAATGGGTCAGCTTCAGAAGTGTCTGTAAAGAGCTGGGCAACCTGGCAGAGCCGATCAGTCACATCCAATGCGTCTGGCGGAAGAGAGATCGGCGAGAAACGCAAACAGGAGCCGTGGGATGCCAATAAGTTTTTCAGCCAGGCTATTGGGAAGTGGATGTGCATCTGCGACAAACTGTTTGATACTGAGAAAGACTTCAACAGCCATATTAAGTCTGGTATCCATCTGGCTGGCACTTTTCGGTAAGATATCTTCCTCTCCCTTCTTCCAATCACTTTGCACCGCCCTATTTCTTAGCTTCGACCACTGTCCATATCTGCTTAGGTCAATACATAAACCCCTTTGCAAAAAAAAAAAAAAAACAGAGCTTCTCGAAATCAAGAAATCAGTGTCTAACATGATTTCCCCATCTAGCTGCCCCAATTGCCTGCGCATGTTCAAGAGCGTCACGGCACTAACCGCCCACTGTGAATCGGCCTCTGTGCGCTGCAAGATAAACAAGGATAAAAATTACGCTGCCATCATGGACGAGATCTCCGCAGGACTGATCGGGGCAGATGGAGAAAACGAAGATGGCTCCGTCAGGTATAGAGCCATCTCAGCAGAGGAAGCTGGAATTGATTTGAAGAAAGTCGATTGATAGAGGGATGATTCAGGCCTAAAGGCAGGTATGCATGTCAAGAATATGGATCTGAAAACGGTTTACATCCGACTTTTTCAGCAAATGTTGCTCGTCAATCAGCAGCGAAATATATGTCCATAATTGGAGTGTGATAGGAAATGATGCGGAAGAGAAGATGAACTTTAGGGGAGAAGTTAAAATAGTTACGGATGGTTGAAGGGTGGTGAAGAGAGAACGGAGATTAACTAGTTAACTACATGTGGAACCAAGGCTAAGGGACAGAATGGATTGAAATTGAAATAAAAATTGAAATTGATAGTTCTTGGATGATTCTTTGATATTCTCAATCATCAGGAGACAAGGAAAGTAGCAATATTTTACGTCTGCAAGTGGAACGAACGATGAATGCCGTGTGTAAGAAGCGCTGATGCCTCGCATTCCGTGGAAACAGGCGTTGCAACCATGTTGCCGCCCGTGGAAATAAGAAGAAGCTCATACCCGGAAATGTTCAAGGGACCGACCCAATTATTCTCTGTCAACGTTTTCTCACCAATATTCTCTCAAATTCATGAAACTTATTCAAAAGCTATTTGTCCATTCAGACTACATTCATACGGGTTGCAACTATTAGGACCAAAAGACGATCGATCCGAATGAGCGAACAAGGCTTTCGCAACCTCTGAAGATAAAATATCATAGTTATTGGCCGAACTCCGTACAATAAGGGCCATCCTGACAATGCCGACTGACTCTTCCTCCCCATCGCAACCGCCAACACCAAGCATATCCACAACGTCCACTCCCCCGCGCAACCGAGCAGCGGAGTATGAGAAATTCAAAAACTTCGCCGCCTATACCTTCCTCATCGCCTCGCCCGTCTGCATTGCCCTCCCGCCCCGCAAACTCGATTTCTACACCTTCAGCCTTGGCGCGGCCTTCGTCGTCTCCGCAAATCACATTTCCTCCGTTCGCACAGGGAGGGGTATATTAGGACATATACAGTCGCGTATAGTCGACCACGGTCGGCCCAGTGTGTTGCGCGAGCTGCCTACGCCGCAAGCTGAGGCCGTGCAGGCGCAGCTGCGGGCTGCGAGGGGAGGCACAGCAGGAGACGCGAATGGGAAAAGTTTGTGGTGGAGGAGCTGGAGAAGGTGGAAGGGGAAGACCGGGGGGGGGGAGCGGGAAAATGGAATATGGTGAAGGAAAATTTGGGGGGGCGGGGGAGAAGGAGGGGGTGGGAAGGAACGGAGGCTTTAAAGAGGAAGCATCGGCCGTTGGAATGAGGGGAAGGGGGGATTGGGGATTTGAACCTAAAGAGCATATCTGGGAAGGTGTGGAAATTGGGGGAAGAAAGACGACAAGCGAGCGGATGGGTGAGGAACAGGGAGAAGGGGGTACGAAGAGAAAGGGGAATGAGCGGAAAATAAGGCTGTCTAGCCGGTGGTTGGATGGGATTGTCTGCCTGCATGAGGCTGTCTGCTCTGTCGGCCTCCCGGATATCGAATACCAGCACCCGTACAGAGACACGGATGGGTATATGTGACCGAGAAATACCATTTAACATCTCTACCACCAGTTGAATCCCATTGTTGGTGAATCTTTGCGGATGGAGATTCTCCTGGCTGTCTTCTCACACCTTCAGACTGTTATTAGAGCACCTAATCTTAGGTTTATTACCAATACCTTCCGCTATTGCCATTTGATGATGAACTCCACTATGGATGCATATATGGATTTGATAGAGCTGTGGTCTAGTAGAGATGAAGGCACCTCAACGGTGCAAGCTACCCAGCATCAACTAATGGGTGGCAGAATGATTATCTAGCCTTAGATAACTTCTAGTTGTACAATATTTACAATATAGTTTCGGAATATATAAGTACATAGCATTGGAAGTCTACTCCTCTGGTTTAATGCTCCAACGTGGATATTTATGCAAGAAAAGAGTTGTGGGGAAAATCTTGTTCATTTATTTCCCCTTTCCAAACACCTTTAACCAACAGTGACATTCCCATACAAAAATATTGGCGATACAGGCCCATCTGAAAAAGGTTCTGAAAAGTTCCAATTCAAAGCACCGTTGTTCCGATTTGCCAACAGTAGACAAATTCCCAGAGACCACTGAAAAACGCCCATTAACCTCCTCCCAACCATTACAACTCCAATCCAAATCCATAGAAAAATCTCACTTTAACATGCAGTCTTTGTCTTTGAACAAAAAACAAGTTTAAACATGCTTTGCGAAAAAATTCTTTGAGAAAACTTTGCAAAACTTGCGAAACGGGGGGGGGGGGGGGGGTTTGAAAAAAAATTGAAGGTTTTTCGAGTTGCCCCGAGTATATCCAGCTCCTGCCAGAATCCAGATATCCTCTTGAATGAAAACAGATCATTGTACAAGAACTTGTGCAGAAACAGAAGCATTGGCGCAGTGCAAACGTGCGAGTGAGTGAGAAAGAAAGAAAAAAGAAGAAAAAAAAATATAGAAGAAGGAAAACATTTAAAAAGGGTTGAAGTTCACACCCAATTCTGCTTAGCGGGCATTGGCGGCATTCATCTTCATGTCCTTTTCTTCCTCCTGCAGAAGTTTAACATAACTCATGCGCTTGGTGGGAGTTTTCTCCGCATTTTCGTACCACATGCCAGTAAAGGCGTCCGGATCCTCTTGACGTCTTTCATTGGTAAAGCATTTGAGCGATGCAGTGAGATTGCTTTTGTACTTCTTAGGAGGCGGGCCGTCGATGCTAGATGAGGAGGCCAGGTGTGACTGCCTCCGCTGGAATTCTCTTCTTCGTCGAAAAGTGTTCCATGGAGGAGTGTCTGGTGATGTAGATGGAGGGGTGAATAGCTGTCTTGCTCCTGGTTGTAGGCCAGCCTTTGGTGGAGGAGTATATGGTGTTTTCTTTGCTGGAGTGGACGGTTCTTCTGCGATGGGACTCAGATGATTTGGATTATGCATTTCTTGCGTTGACATTTCTATGCGATCCACAACCCCGGAATCATTCATCGGACTGTCCTGTACTAGGGGGTTGACGTCCACACGATTAACAGATTGTGTTTTATCGCACAGAGTGATGACTTGTGGATGTTCATCGCGTTGCTGCACAACTTCCGGAATTCCCTCTTTGGTCGTCTGCTCGAAGAATAAAAGATTGGGAGCATTTTCCAGGTCTATCGGTTCGGGATGTGCATGCTGGACTTGCTCAATTTGCTCCATAGCATCCTCCATTGGGTCGATGACTTGATTGCCGAATAGGAGATCAAAGTCATTGTCCAGGTCAACTGTATTAAATTGCGCTTGATGCCGTTCCTCAAGCTGCTGTACAAGATCTTCGATTGGCTCGTCAACCGGAAATTCGGGTATGGGGTCAGAGATAATCTCCAGATCAAGCGGATCAAATTGACGTTGGTTTTTGTTGTTCAACGCGCTGCATAACTTCCTGGATTGGCTCGTGGACTGGAGTGTTGGGGATGAGATCGGGGACATCTTCCAGGTCAGGTGGTTCAGCGTGTACATGATGAGTGACGGGTGGAACCAATGGCAGGCTCCCAATGGACGAATTCGTATTGGCCCCATTGTCGTCGACGTCTATACATATGGGAGTGTCTGCCGTATCTCCGTACTCGGGCATAGGATGATCCGCAAAATTGGCTGTGGTGAGCAGCAATATTAGTCTCAATGTAGAGTGCTTTCACCAGGGTAGCTCAAATGCTGGATGAAAACACGTACTCTCCATGAAGTCCGCATAGTCGCCCGCCGCCATTACGGCCCCTTGAAGGGAAAAGACGTAAAGGGTTGATTCGTCAGTCAATCCCCCTGACTGGAGGCCAAGCGTGCGATCATGTGGCCGAGGCATCCCGTCGAGAGTCGAGCTTCGAAAGCAGCTGAATGTACTGGGGGAGGCGCACTTCCTGCTGTCCTTTTCGTGGTCGTGCGCCCCTTACCGGGACTCGGAAGGTTTCTGATGCCTGAAAGATCCAAGCGAACCAACGGTAGTGATGAGTAATACCGTGGAGGGTGATTGGGACGACTCAAGTAAGTACACTGAGGGGAACACCTAAGCCGATGCCGTATGCCTTTTGTTGATTGCTGCAGGAGCTCTGCAGAATAGAGTTGGCCCCTGGAAATCACCGTTCAGACAAAATAAAATACTGCCAAGAAATGTCGATGCGGCAGGAACAATAGCCGAAAACAACCAAAACGGGAAGGGGTGTCCGTAGCCAATATTAATGGGCAGAAAAGAAAACCTATTTGTCAGGAGGGCGGTCTGTCGTTGGGGAGGGGGGAGGGGGGCAAATCCCCCTGAGAATTTTGCCAAGCGAAGTGTATCAGTAATCAACAGGCAGAGCGACGGGGGAGCCAGAAAGGGCGGAGAGCACAGACTGACGTAATCTACGCTGGGGAAGCAAGCGAAGGACTGGGGGATGTTGTAAAGAAGATGGAGGAAGGAGAGGCCTGAGGCTCGGGAGACGGGTCCTTTTATACAGGCGAGCCCGGGAAGCGAAAGCCAAATATTGCTGGGCTGCTGGGGCTGGGGGGAAGCACATCGCCCACGGGTAAAGAGACAGTTTGGCGACAAAGTATATTATGATGCCATAGCCATTGGGGGCATTCTAAAGGGGAAGGCGCGATCGGTATCGCATATGCTTTCCGGGGCGATGGCGGCAAGAGAGAAACAGCGGGGGACATTTGAGGGTGCAGGCCCGTTTAGGAAGGAACCCAAGATCCAAGCTGCAAGAAGGTGAGTAAGAGGGTGCTGGAGGCAGAGTTTAATCCTGTAGTAAGCAGAGAACACCGTTAGGCAGGGAGGCAACATAGCAAGCAGGGGCGGTAGGTGGCA